GCACTCTGGAAACCAGGTCTTCCTTCCCTTGGCCCTGGTTTAGTGATGCTTCCCCTGCACTTCCAGTGCCAGATTGCAAGGAGCTCAAAGTAACCGGAATGCCGCAGGCCCTGTGTAGTGGCCAGAGAGCCACCCTGGCCCTAATCACAGCATTTGTGCCTTCTTCACTCCATGCATGGTTCATTGCATTTACTTAGTCTGTGTATTTCTAAAAGTTTTAGTGTCATGTACTACCTATAGTTACATTTTTGCTCACTGCTGTATTTTCATTCTTCTCTTTGGAAGTTAAAAAACCATTGGTTTGTATTCTTTTTTGTGTTTGGCATATTAGTCTTTTATTGTCTTCCCACAGTTGCTTTCCTCCTTTCCATGTTGACTGAATTCCTCCAATACTCAGGTTAAGAAAGGCCGAGCATTCCCACTGACCACCTGCTCTGTTGGAAAGCCCTGTACACGTTTGTTTTGGTTGACGCCTGGGTGAGACCGGAAGACCCAGGTCTCTGCAGGCAGTGGTTAAATGGGGCAGGTGGCGGAGCCACTGTGCCCAGAAGCCTGGGTAAGGGACACAGGGTCACTTGTGTGTTCCAGTGCTGTGCGCCAGGTTCAGGAAACGGAGCTTCTCACCTCCAAGCTAACAAAATTGGGCTCTGGGGTGGACGGAGAAGTTCCAGGGGCAGAGGGGAGGGTGTCAGTGGCTGCGAGGGGGCTGGGAGGAAAACTTAATCATTTCCAGTCTAAGAAGCCTAATTAATTACACGAGTGATTTCTCTGTGAGTAAGGCCCTTCCAGACCTGTGGGTGCCGAGTGGCTGGTATTCCAAGTATGTCCATCTGCATTTAAACAAGTTGCTCCGAGACAATCTGATTACGCGGTAGTTACTCTGGTGAGAATAGCGTCTCAGTGGAATGGAAACTTCATTTTGAGTCTAATATTAGACCTTGCTTTGGAAAATTCTTTTTAAATGATCACAAGCTGGGAATAGCAAAAGAATTTAACTTTCGACAGACAGCATTCACCAAGAATCTTTAACTGCTTTGCTGGGTCTCTGGGAAGGCGGATGCGAGGAGCCGGGCCAGCACCCCGCTGAGAGTCGGCCTGAGCAGGTGCCGGGTGCTCTGTGGCCAAGAAGCCCCCAGTCGGCTTCGCTCAAAATATTTTCATTCCTTGGCTGTGAGCAGACCAGGATGAAAATCATTAGGGTGCCTAATTGCCTAACAGTCTGAATGCCTGGGCCTGCAGCTCTTGCTGCTGCATGGGGGTCTAAGGCAGAGTGGAAACTGCATGGAGTGGGGAAGGGGCTGGTGACCCAGACCCAAGCCACTTTCCAGGTTGGTCCTGAACTCGCTGAACCTGGCCTTGACAGAATATTGGTTTGTCTGGCTGCTCTGTCTCATGAACTCGGCCAAGTTACTGTTAGCTAAGCCTTAAGGACTCCCCCACAGCCTGTCACTTAAAAAGAAATAAAAAGCTTAACTGATCATGAAGTTTCCAGATCATGTCTACTTTGGCTTTAGTTATTTATTTGGCACCGGAGATTGAACTCAGGACCTTGCACTTGGAAGGCAGGCACTGGAACCACTGAGCTAAATCCCAGGCCCTACTTTGGCTTTGTTTATGGATGTATGTTAGGTGCCTCGATTCGGCAAAACCAGTATTGGTGTTTGAGAAATTATTTTATTTTAAAGATTTTCCTAAAATTGAAATTCGTCTTTTAATCGCTGTGTGTTATTTAGTGTTTTCCCCCTCCAGCTAAGCTGATGGCAGTTGATGGTGCCGTCGAATTGGGAAGAAACGTTAATAAAAGTGTAAGGCTGCCCTGGGACTGCTGGCCCCGTCGGCTGGGCCCTGGTGTGGTCTCTGCTCACACCAGCTCTGGTTGGTGGCCCTGAGCTGGGCCTGGAGAGGAGGAGGCGAAGCTCAGGAGTGTCCGAGTCTGGTCACTGCGTTGGCCCAGGTGGCCCATCGGGGTGGAGCTGGCGTTCAGCCCGAACCCCCAATTTGGGAGCTCAGGCGTGCCCTTCCCGCTGCAGTTGTTCTTAAGTTTTCTGGCCTTAGGGTCCTCTAAACACTTAGAAATGACTGAGGACCCCCGAACTTTTATTCTAGCTTTTGATATTTACTTCATTTGAGTAAAACTGAAATTTAAAACATATTTACTCATTATGTATTTATTCTTTATTTTTTGTAGTGCTAGAGAGCAAACCGAGGGCCTAATACCTGCTAGGCAAGTGCTCTGCTACCAAGTGTAAATAACATTTTTATTAAAAATAACCATGTACTGCTGCGCAAGTGCAAGGACCCGAGTTCGATCCCCGGTTCCAAAAAAAAAAAAAAAAAAAAAAAACCATGTAGGGCCAGGGATGTAGCTCCGTGGTTCCGGCGCCTGTCTTGAAAGTACAAGGTCCTGAGCTCGTTCCCTGGTACCAAAAACAACAACAACAACAACCAACAACCATGTTTTCAAATAAAATAGTAGGAACAGTTGTTTATCTTTGTTGCATCTCTGCTACCCAGCTAGGTGGGAGGCTGCTGGACCCTCAGCCTTCTGCCTCCTGCCTGTGCAGTATTGTGCCTGGAGGAAGTACACGGAGTTGTCCTCACATAGATAGGTGTTTGGAAAAGGGAGAGACTTTTTTTTTTTTTTGGTACCAGGGATCGAACTCGGGTCCTTGCGCTTGCACAGCAGGTGGCGAAACCACTGAGCTACATCCCTGGCCAGGAGAGACGTTTTAGTAGCTTTTTCGGACAATCCTGGATATTCTCTTTTGTTACTACACCGGAATCCCCAAGTGGTCGTTTCTTTTTCTTCTTCCCTTGGTGTTTGGAGTCAGGCTCTCACCGTGTAGCCCAGACTGGCTTTAGACTTGGGCAGCCCTCTGAGCCCTGAGCGCTTCGATGACAGGCGTGCGCCACCGTGCCCGGCAAGTGGTAATTTCTTAAAGGGTAACTGCAGTGTAGAGTCTGAAATCATGCCAAGGGACTTTTGGTATTCTGTCTGGTTAAAACCCTCTGGCCCAGCTGGGCATGGTGGTGCACGCCTGGGGTCCCAGCACTTGGGAGGGTGAGGCAGCAGGATCCCTGAGTTCAGGACCAGCCTGGGCTTCACAGGGAGACCCTGTCTAAAACAAATAAAACCAAACCAACAACCTAAAATCCTTTGCTCTAAAGTCATCTGTACTGAATTCTGAGTAATACGTGTAGATGCACATGTACCCCTCTCCAGAAAGTAGATCTAACCCTCCAGGCCCGCTTGGGGGTGTGACAGGCTTAGTGACTTGCTTCCACAAATAGGACTAGGGAGAGGGAAGCAGAGTGACTTCCCAGTGGAGAAGCGGGGAGCCCCTGTATCGGAGGGGTGAAGGTGAGTCAGTGCTGTTCTGAGGTGTCCCCCACCCCCATGGGCCACCCCAAAACCCACAACCCGGGGGGCCTGAGCGGAGGCCGGGAGCTGTGACGGCTGTGCGTGCTCTGCCCCGGACTGGGTAGTGGGACAGAAAGAGGCCATTGTGGGGCTGGGCAGGGGCTCAGTGCCAGAGCATTTGCCTAGCTCGCTTGAGCCCTGGGTTTGATCCCTAGCACCGAAGGGGAAAAACCAAACCAACCCAACCCAAGAAGACATTTTTGGGAAAACAAGTAAAATCCAGTTAAGCCTGGCGTTTAATAGTCACGCGTTGACGTCGGTTTCTTCATTTTGGCAAATCTGTCACGTAGTACAAGATGTAACCCTGGAAACTGGGTGGAGGGTGCGGAACTTTGTACTGTCCTCGCCACTTTTCTGTAAGTCTGAGATTGTTTCTTTTTGTAAATCCATTGTTCAGGAGGGGCCTTGAGGGGAGGAACGGGACAAACTAAAACTTATTTAAAAAAATAAATGCATTGTTCTACCTTATACTGAGTGGACCACTCACCCAGGCATGGTTCACTGAATTACGCCGATGTTCCAAACATTGACACAGTAGATTACTTGATCATTGCTATCACCACCTAGCCCATCAAAAAGGTCCTTAACTATGGAGAAGCTGTCACGCATCTGGTGGGTATGAATTTCCACAAATTCAAATTTTCTGATGAAAGCTCAGTTTTTATCACTGGTAGCAAATGCCACCTGTGGTTTTCCTTGACGTGGCAGGCTTGTTTTGTTTATTTTCACAAAAATATCCACCCAGCACCCAGGTCTGAATAAACCATAGTTTATCTGATAGTCATTCCTCCAAGTAAAAATGACATTCGGGCCGGGGATTTAGCTCAGTGGTTCTGCCGCCTGCCTCGCAAGCGCAAGGTCCCAAGTTCAATCCCCGGTACCAAAAAAAGAAAAATGACATCCGGTGAAACAGTGGCTTGGGCCTAGGATATAGCTCAGCGGTAGGGCACTTGCCCAGTCTGCCTGAGTGCCTGGGCTAGCCCTCTTCCTTGCTCAGATGTCACACAAGTGCCAGAGCCTCAAGACAGCCGTCATGCTTGGGATACTTCATTTGTGGGTGACTCTGCCCTCCTCTGTGTGTGCGCTCTGTGAACAGTGAGCGTGTGTCCCATTTGCTGTGGGCCGGGTCAGGTGCCCTTACCTCATCAGTCGAAATACCAGCACAGTGGAGAAGACCAGTGACATTTTATATTCCTAGGAAATAGTGTGACCCCAGTGCCTTAGGGTCCTGAGGGTCCCCAGAGGCCCGCGGACCATCCTGAGAGAAGCGCTCCACTCACGTGAAGTTGCTCAGATGTCACAGAGGAAGGGCTGCGGAGCTGAGCACCACTTCCCTGAGGAAGTAGAGACCTGGGGTGCAGGACAGCGTGTGTAGAAGCCGACACACTTCTGGCCCAGCTGTCATGCTTTTAATGGCTCAGGAAGCTTCTCCATTTCCACACCATTTAAAAATGCTTCAGTGCAGTGGTATCAAATTTTTGCTGCATAAGGTTTGCTATTTTTACAATAATTATATATAAGCTATCATTTGGTGAATCCAGAAAATTATCTCTTAAACTTGGTTTTCTTTCCTTTAAAGGTAAATCTCACCTGGCTATTGTACAGCGGGTAAACAATGAGGGAGAAGGAGATCCATTTTATGAAGTTCTGGGAATTGTCACCTTAGAAGATGTGATTGAAGAAATCATCAAATCTGAGATTCTAGATGAAACAGATTTATACAGTGAGTAGCGTTGTCTGAGTGTCATTTCCCCCACCTCTACTTTTGCTGTCACGCTGTCACTGACATTTCTCCTCCAGTCCTATCTGCTGTTGGAACTGCACTCAGCACGTGGAGGCTGCCGCACCTCCCAGTGGTTTCCAGGCCTTTGGAGGGGCGAGGAAGGGGAGATTCTGTGGCAGTGTTCTCTTGAAAAGCCCACATCGCCTGACTGTTAATCTACACCTTCCTTGCTGGAAAAAGGTTTCTTGAATTTCAAATGTATCTTTACTGATTGATCTTTACTCAATTTTCATTTTATACATCTAAGCAGATTATTCTCAAATAAATTTGTTTTTCCTTAAGTTTATAATTCATGTATTTAAAAAGTGAACGAGTGAGCCAAATTGATGGCTGGCAGCTGATGACACTTCCTGCTCTGAAACCCGGGGCCCCAAGTGGAGGTGAGGTGCAGGCACAGCTGGCAGGACGAGGCCGGAGGCGGACCAGCAGGGGACACACAAGAATGCATTTCTGCTGTCCTCTGCTTCCTGCTGGCTTTTGGGAGGCAGATGGGGACTGGAGTGGCACCCTGGGGCAAGAGGAGGAGGTGTGTCCAGGTGTGGATTCTTCGGATGGGGCAGCTGTGGGCTGCGTCCTGTCTCAAGTGTTGCCTGGCTGCTGGAGCTTCAGCCTCCGCCCTCAGCCCAGGCTTAGCGAGTGAGCCTCCTCCAAGGGTGTCATAACGCAGAGGGCCCACAGTGGGTGCAGGGGCAGGGCCGGCTGGGTGCAGAAGGAGTGTCAGATGTGAAAGCTGCCTTGGGTTGGGTGTGGACGTGGACCGTGGACCTCGCAGTGGGGTGGGCACTGCCATGAAGCCCTTGGCTGGGCGGAGTGATTATTCAGCCTCTAGAAGAGGGCACCCTGCCCTTTTACAAGTAAAGTCGTCCATCACCTTTGAAGAATATTTTATATCTAGCTGATGATTATCTTCTCCCTGCCGGAGTCTGTTTTACCCTTTGACACTTCAGGGTAGGCAGAGGCCTCAGGACAGAGGACGGACGCTGCTGTTAGTGTGTTTACATTCTTTTCCTCCTGCCTCCCAAGCCATCTAACGCCCCACCCTGTGCATCTCCGTAGATTTATGTGAGAAAGACAGTGTGACATTCATGAGATCTTAGCTTCTTTGGTTTTATAGAAATATTAGTTGAACAACTTTTAAACCTTGATTGGACTGGTTTCCTATAGAAGTTCTGCCCGGAGCGCCTTGCTGGTGTAAAGTGCTGAACTTGTGATTCCAGGTGTATCCCATTTATTTATTTATTGAAGTTAATTAATTTCTTTAGTTGATTGAACCCAGGGTCTTCACAACAAGCAACGTTCTCAGCTTTTTATTTTCTCTCTTGAGACAGGGTCTCTCTCAGTTGCCCAGGCTGGGTGTGAGCTGGTGATCCTCCTGCCTCAGCCTCCTGGAGTGATGGGATGATGGGCATGTGCTACCACTTCCAGGTTATATTCGTGATCTAGGTGGACCGGGATGGATGATGCACATCGCCATTAGAAAATTATTTTAAAGCTTTGTATTGATTTACACTGTCTGGTTCTCAAAAGAACTTGCGATAAAAGAAAAGTATAAAATGTGATTGCCTTCTCTCCAGGAAAAGCCTTGTAATCAGTCTGTTTCTCACTGAGCAGGAAGTGTTAATGCAGTGACTCATGGTTCTTGTGGATGGAGCAAGCAATTGGAGTCTTGTCCTTCAGCCAGTTTTTTCTTGATCATTACTTTGTTCAGAAAAATACTTGAAAAATGGTTTTGTATGAGATGACTTCTATATTAGGGCTTGGCAAACCACAGCCTGAGTGCCTGCTGCCTGGTTTTGAATGATGGTTTTCACATTTTTTAATGACTGAAAAAAGTCAAAAGAATAATTAGTCTGTGACAAGTAACAGTTAAGCGAAGTTTCAGTTTCAGGGTCCGTAAATAGAGCTTGGTTGGAGCACTGCTGAGTGGCAGCATGGGCTTGTTGTCGCCAACTGTAAGGGACAGGGCTGGAATGCGGCCCGGGCCTTGTGGACATCCTTGCCGGCCCTGTCCGACGTCCTCCCCTCCGGAGCTCCCCTGACCTGGAGTCTCTGCTCTGGGTAGTGATTCGGGGCCAGGTTCCGCAGTGTTCTGGTGCGCTCTTGTTTCCTGAGGGGTTTGTGTGTGTGTTTATTTTCTTTGAGGGGCTCTTGAAGGCGGGGCATGGCAGTTCTGCCCTGGAGTGTGGTGACCGTGGCCCTCGAGAGTCGAGAGTTGCACTGCCTCGGCCAGTCTGCTGCCTTGTGGGCTTTTAACCTCCCACACACGTGGTGTCTAAACACCTCCGGGCCCTCTCAGGTCACCGAGGTGACCCTGGGGTCATTGCCGATTTGGTGAGGCTCTCCTACCCCGGACAGAGTCTAGCTTTCCGTTTCATCCAACAGGAGCCCTGACCTAACAACTGTATGTCCTTATTGTTTTCTCTTTTCTTTCTTTTTTTTTTTTTTTGGTACCGGGGATCAAACTCGGGTCCTTGAGCTTGCACAGCAGGCGGTGAAACCACTGAGCTAAATCCCCGGCCCTCTTTTCTCTTTCCTCTCTCAGCTGATAACAGAACGAAAAAGAAAGTGGCCCACCGTGAAAGAAAGCAAGATTTTTCTGCCTTTAAGCAGACAGACAGTGAGATGAAGGTTAAAATCTCCCCGCAGCTTCTCCTGGCCATGCACCGTTTCCTAGCAACAGGCAAGTGCACTTATCTCTGTTTTGATCTCTGCCAGCCCCAGGCCGCTAGTGCTCAGCACCACTGAGGGGGGCTGGGGGTGGAGACCCGGAAATGGGGTGATGAGTAATGCCACTTTTGTGTTTTGTTTTTGTTTTTTTGTTTTTTTGTTTTGTTTTGTTTTTTTCTCTTTAAATTCTCTCCTCTCCTGTGTTCAGTGTCGGCATGAACCCTCTGAGACATTTACCAGGGGTGGACCAGTAACTTAAAATTGGTCTGAAAGGTAAGGACAAATGTCAGAGCCACACTGCATGTGTACGGTGGGCCAGGTCCTCTCCTTGCAGCTGAGCCCACAGGGCAGCTGTGTCGAGTAGGCTGACAGTGCAAACCAGACTCCCCTCATTTGATTGGACAGTTGAGTACTTCTCTCTGCAGCTTGCCCTGGAGGAACAGTTGGACATCAGTGGTAATGCAGGTGCTATATTTTGCAAAGAAGAAAAATAGATTTTTCAGAATGAAATCTTTGTCTTTTATGTCTTCTAATGAAATCAGAGATTCTGAGGACTTTGACATGGATTTCTTGGTGGCCTCTTCAAATGAGATTACTAGCTTAGGCCCACTGTAGAAGGCAAGTATGCACATCACTAAAGCCACCCCTAGCCGGCACTGACTGCCGGGTCAGGGTCCAGTGGTCTCGGCCTGACCACCCCCACTTCCCTGTGGCCTTCTTGGGGAGCCGAGCTCTGTTGGCCTGGGGGAGTAAGAAAATCCAAAGGTGCCCAGAGCCTTGTAGAAGATGTCTGTTTCCAAGATGTGCAGCCAGTACCTTTCGGCTGCATGCAGCATACCTAAAATATTTTGAAAAGAAGGCCCCCAGCAGCCACGGGATGGAGTTCCACCTGCACTGCCAATGGTGGAAGTGCTCACAGTGTAATATTCGCGACAGGGGAAGATGTCCACGGTACGGCGTGACGTGGGAAGACGCACCGCAGAGAACTGTGTGCCTTAGGGTTGTGATGGTGTCTCTCTCTGCACACATGTGCACACCCACACAGGCACATGTGCCCAGGCAAAGCACTGGAAAGAAATGCTCACCAAATTGCTCTGCACAGTTAGCTAGCTGGTTGGCTTATAGATGACTTTTATGTTCTTACCTTTTTCCTATTTTTCTAATTTTCTGCAATGGACTATCATTACTGAAAAGTTGCAGAAGGGAGTTCAGAATTTATACCATTCACACATAGCAACGAATTAAAAAATGAGATCTTTAACTTGCTTAATATTCTCTTAAAAGTTCTGGTGGTCTTGTTCCTCAACATTTCAGAACCACACATTTGCTAGGTGTAGCGGTGAGGGCCTGTGATGCCAGCTCTCGGGAGGCTGAGACAGGAAGATTCAGAGTTCAAGGCCAGGCTAGACTACAGAGTGAGTTCAGGGCCAGCCTGGACTACACAGTGAGACCCTGTCTGAAAAGGAAAAGCAAACCAAAACAAAAAACAATAAAACACTGAATGTTATCCTACTCTGCCTCTGAGCCATCATAAGGCCCAGTTTCAAAAGAGCAGCCAGAAGTCAGTAATTTCAATGTCTGTCATTTGAAATACAGTTTCTCCCTTTGTAAATGCTGCCCAACAGAACTCGTTTGTTGGCGGTTGGAGTGCATGTTGATGTGTGCACGGCCTTGCTTTGGTTCTGAACCCCGCCCTGGGTGGTCCCGGAATTTCTCAGAGCGGCTGTGGGGAGACGGGCCTGTGGGGAGACGGGCCGCAGAGCCGCCGGACTAACCGCACTGCGCCGGGCGCTGGCGCCCTCCTGTGGCTGTGGTTGGACAAACCCTTGTGCTTGGGGGAGGCCCTGCTGGCACTCGAGCTGCTGCTGCTCGGTCTCATTCCCATCGGTCAGCAGTGCAGGATGTTTTCCTGAAGGAGACGCCCATGACAGGTTAAAGGAAGATAAAAGGGGCAACGATGAGACTTCAGCATTTTCTGATTTCTCCCAGGTAATCTGTCCCTGGAGGATCACCAAACGGAAGTCTTGTTCATCCGCGTGGATCGCTTTGATGCCAAGTGTTCTCACTGAACGCCTTACTGACTAGCGTCATCTTTTCCGTCCACTTGAGTGTAATGTCGAGTTGTGTTTATGTCTATAGAAGTAGAAGCATTTAGCCCATCCCAGATGTCAGAGAAGATCCTTCTAAGACTGCTAAAGCACCCCAATGTCATCCAGGAGCTGAAGTATGACGAGAAGAACAAGAAAGCCTCAGAGTACTACCTCTACCAGCGAAACAGACCCGTAGACTACTTCGTCCTCATTCTGCAGGTCAGAGGGTTACTCAGCATCGGTTTGCATCCCCGAGTCCCCGCCTTGCAGGGTGGAGGAGGCCTGGTGCAGGCCAGTGGCTCACAAGGGTTATTTTGTCCTTACCTTACTGTGTTGGGGAGAATTTCATCTCTTTGTCTTCATGTGTATGAAGTGACTGGAACACAAAGTCATGACTTGAGCTACTTTATTTGCCAATACTAAAAGGCTGAGTGTGACTGCTGAGGCTCTGAGTCAGACGAAGAATGGTGAATGAGGTTGTCGGTGGTTTTTAGGGTTTGGGGAAGCTCCTGTCCCTACCCCAATCTTGGTGGGTTTTTGAAATTTATTATCATGGGTTCCTTAGTTCTCTTTGTATCACCTTTTCTCTTTTCCCTCCCTCCATAGGACTTGACCATGAGATAGCTTGGTGACTAAGAGATATCTTGTGTCTCTTCCATTAACAACATCAAAACAATGCATTCATTATTTTTATCCCTTGTAACTAAACAGACCCTGTGTGATGGGAATGAATATGATACTGACAGCCCCCAGGCAGGGATAACGACTTCCTTCTCACTGTAAACCTAATCCAGCATGGGGATGGGCCACCCATTCTGAACCCTTTGAAGGGCTTCCAGGCCGGAGATCGGTAGAAGGCCGTGTTATGTCACACTTGCGCTGCAGGCGGTGCAGCCCTTTGCATGGAGGCCACGGTGGGCATCACAATGAATAAAAGCCTAGTTTTATTGATTTCTGGTGCCTCTTTATAGACAAAGCATCTTTTTCAGGAAACCTGAGTTTATTTCAAATCAAGAATATTGGCCCCGTAAGCTTGCTGGTATTTCTTGGTTATTGCCTAGATATGAACTGGAAGTCCCATTGCAAGAGTATAATTAGTACGTGAAAGGCCCTGAAATTTGCATGAGTCCAGCAAGGCCCCAGTTACCTAAATGAATTATGAAATTTATTTTTATTTGGAACTCGCTCTTCTCAGATGTGTAGCTGTCAGAAACGCCTGCAGTGATGGGCCCATGGAGGCCTGCGACTGAGCAGCATCGTGTCTCTGGAAAGAGGAGTAAGGAGCAGGAAGCCCCTCTGGCGTTGGGGGACTAGCGAGGGCTTAGAAGCTCGTGTTTCTGGGCTCTGGTTCAGTGCCCTGGGTCTTCTGCGAACCTTAATCTTAATCACTTCTTTTTCTCTGGAGATACATAAGCTCGAAACTCTGAGGGAACTAGAAGAGATGTATTTTATTCATTGTAATGAGGAAACAAAACATTCATAATTCACATAAAAGCCAGATAGGACTATTCCATGAACCACTAGAAACTCTGACATTGAAGACTGTTATGTGAGAGAATTGGAAGATTGGTTTTATTAATTTTAGCAGTGACATCAGAAACCAGGTGGCTCCCTATTCTTGTTGAGTTAGTGTTTAGTTGTGAGTCAGTAATGCTCTGTTGCTATACCAAAAAGCCATAGATCTTAAATTATATGGAAAGGGACTTTATAATCTCTGTCCGTTTAAAAGTGGTGAACCTTTTAAAGATTTTTTTTTGATAAGGCCAAGCCATTTTAGGTATATATACCTATATTTGATTATTTCTTCATGTTACATGCTTACATAAATGTGACAAGTGTACTGAACTGAGGATGGCATGGGGATCTTATAAATAGTGTGTGTGCTGGAGGCCAGGCCTATGCAGGCGTTTAAACTGTGGATTGGGGGCCAAGTCCTGCTCTTGCAGATCAGACAATTCCCTGAGGGCCCGGAGAGTAGCAGAATGAAACGCCTGGCGTAGCTGCCATCATTTGCAAAGCACACTCCATCCTCAACCATCGCCACTGCAAACGGGGGTGCCTGGGATGGCGCGTGCTCCCCCGCATTTCAGAAACACAAGTCAGAGGGAAGCAGTGCCATCTGCCTTTCCTCCTTGGCCTCCGGGCCACAGATGCCCCTCCTTTGCAATGTTAGAAAAACTCCTTAAGTAAGCGTTGTTGGGACTGTTCTTGTACTAGAAACACATCATTGTTGTTTTTTTTTTTTTTGGTACCGGGATCGAATTCGGGACCTTGCGGTTTCAAGGCAGGCAGTGGAACCACTGAGCTAAATCCCCGGCAGAAACACATCATTTTTTAAGAGTGGGCCCTTGGATGAAATGAAGTCTAATTTATTCAAGGTGAATGATTTAAATAAACTTAAAAGAATATTTTGTAAGTTATATAATACAAAGTACACACTTCCCACTACATATACATAAAACTAAAATTTCAGGTTTACCCAAAAAAGTAGGGTTTTTTTTTTTCGGTACCAGGGATCAAACTAGGGTCCTTGCACTTGTGCAGCAGGTGGTGAAACCACTGAGCTAAATCCCTGGCCAAAAAAGTAGATTTTTAAGCTACAGCGTATTGAGGGATTGATCAGGGCAAAGCTAAAAACACAGTAGAGCGTGACAAAATCTTATTATCTCTCTGCCTTAAATAACTTAACAAAATATACATATAAAAGTAGAAGTGGTGGAAAACATTTCTGTCATCATAAAAGAACAAGCATACCAAGAAAAGTTATATGGTACTTTAAAATTACATAACTAGTAAAATAAAACTAGCAGATTTTTGAAAACCAAACATAAGCCAGAGAGAAGTACTTTTGTTTTGTTTTATTATTATTATTTTGGCGCCGGGGATCAAACTCAGGACCCTGTGCTTCGGAGGCAGGCGGAGGCACCGCTGAGCTAAATCCCTGGCCCCAGAGAAGTACTTTTTAAAAACTTATGTGACTCATAGTAAGATCATATATTATTCACAGTGTACATTCTAGTAATTACAAACAGGTATAAATTTCATAAAATCCCTACATAGATGTTAATAAAGTTAAACTAGAAACAAAAAATTCACAATTTAAAAGTACTAAACATGGTGATGTTTGTCTGTAGGGCACAGAACGGTTCATATATGTCCTCATTTGTGTAAGAGGAAAAAAACTGCACTTGACTGTCACACAGGCACATATATATATACAATTGGAATTTCCCTGAAATGTTGCTCAGGAACCTGGTAGTAATTGTTCCTTCTCCATTGGAGATGTGCAGGGCCAGGACAGAAGGAAATTGAAGCATTTCTCCCTTGTATGGCTTGAATTTCTTAGCATGTGCATGTCTTATCTATTTAATCACTTAAAAATAGAATTAATGGTAAAATAAAAGCCCTAAATAGCAACAGAATTAGGGAAAAATACATGGGATACCTTAAAATAGATAATATACCATAAAAGACTATTAATAATGTAAATACCATCTGTACAATATATCAGAATTTTAAGAAACTTTCTCTAAGTACTTAAAACAGAGAGAACTATAATTAGCCCCCAAAAAGAGCAAAGCAATAAAGTAAAAAAGAAAAGTAAAAATTGTCATAAAAAATAAACTCAAATGAGAAAGCCTTTACAAACCACAAATCAAGATTTGATGTTTTAAAAGATTAATAATATCAATACTGCCTTGGCATAATTAATGTAATAAAAGAGAAAAAAATAAGTTTTTTCTTCCCCCTAAAAATCTGGAACAAAGGATTTAGTAGGGAAAAATAGAACTGTAGGGAACTGCCGAAGATTTCTGCGTTAGAGCAAGACAAGATGAGAACTGGGTGTGGTGGCACACGCCTGTGATAACCCCAGCCCTCCCTCGGGAGGCTGAGGCAGGAGGATCACCTCAAATTTGAAGCCAGCCTGGATCACATAGTTCAAGGCCATCCTGAACTACAAAGGGAGACCCTGCCTCAAAAAAAAAAAAAAACAGGTGAAGGGCTATTCACAGACACTCTGCGATGGACATGGGCTCAGTCCTCACACCAGTTAGATGAACGGCTAAGCTCACTAAAAGGCAGCAAGAGTAATGCCATCCCCAGAGACTTATTCATGTGACGTGTCTGAATTTGGTTTATTTTAGGGTGAAAAGCTAGCTTACGGACGGCTAAACAAAATGTGCCACATTACTTACTAAAGCAATAAAAAAGTTCTTACGCTTAGGTCAGTAGAGATCTGTTAATAGTTAAACATCAAAAGTATAAATAGACACAAAAAGGGCTATAAACTGCTTATATCCTTAAATTAACACTCACATCTAAATGCATCATAGTTTACAAAGTATCTATAAATTACACCAAATCTATTATAAAATAGTTTACATGCCTAATAGCTAATAAATTAGATATGATAATGAGGGGTCATTGTGCAATAACTAAAGAGATGGAAAGCATATACCAAAGTTAAAAATTTGCATATGCACAATATTTATAACTGCAAAAGATTATTCTAATAAAATGTGATGGATCGCTGTATAATTTATATAATTGGTATTTTACAATGAGCCATTCATTGGTCCTTTGAGGAGTAAAATGTCCAAATAGCAAATGAAAAGTATGCTTGCTCTTTCACCGCACAGGACCTAGGTGTGACGTTAGCAAATGCAGCAGGGAGGAGAAGCGGTGGGTTTTTCTTAGCTCATTGTATATTTGACAGAATATTCTTTCCCCCTGGAGGGTTTTTTTCCCCTCTTGTTGACTTCATGGTTCAGATTAAAAAGATACTCTTTTTAAAAATTCTTTTCAGTTGCCTTATCCATGTTCTTTAAAGCTTCTGATGTGGGTTCAACAGAGTTTTCCCTAAAGTAGGAGTTGTTGTTTTGTTGAGGTAACATATTGGAAGGTATCTTAGTTACTTTCTGGTTGCTGGCCAGCATCCAGGTCAATCTGTGGCAAGATGTGAGCTCCAAGGCTTGCGTGGCTGCACCCCTGTGGCACCATTGGTGGTTGCAGCTCTGGTGGCTTCTCTCTTGGGCTGGCTGTGCCCACTCCTTACAGCTTTCCTCAGATGATCAAGGTTCCTGGCTTCTCCAACCTTCTGGGGTCTCCACAGCACCTAGGCTTCACACACTGTCCCCTCAGGTGCACTGCCTGGCCTCCCAGGCCCTCTTCTGAAATCTGGGTGGAAGCCTTTCTGATCTCACAACTCTTGCATTCTGCATGCACCTAAAACCAGCACCTTGTGGATGACACCAAAGCCTGGCTGCCAGGTGGAGCAGCAGCCAAGCTTCCTTCTCTCCTGGTTATGGGGGTCAAGTGCCTTGACCTCTGAGCACAATGAACCCAGTCCTGAGGAACAAATTTCCTAAACCACTGCCCTTCTGGGACATAGTTCCCTGAGGCTCTCTTCTCAAAGCAGTCTTTCACCTCTGCAATTTTGAGGCTGCAGAGGGTTGAGTCCTGTTGGTTCTTGTGATACCCTTAGGCCATCTTTTCTATTGTCCTGTTCCAAAGTACTTGGCTTTTTATTGTTAATCCTTTCAGCAGCCATTCCATCCTTGTAGGCTGAAACTTTATTGGGACTTCCTTTCTGGCCAAACTCTAAACTTTTAAAATCATTCTGCTGGGTCATTTGCTCTTGATTCTCACCATAAGTCTGGCTAAAAGCCCCCAACTATAGCCGTGCTACCAGCTCAGCATTAGACTGCCTTGAAAATTCTTCTACCAGGTTAATTAGCCCACTGCACCTAATCCCAGTCTCCTGCAAATTCTTTGGACATGAGCAAAATGCAGACCAATTTTCTCCCAGAGCATAGTACACAGTGTGGAGTCCAACTGCCAGTGCAGTCCCTGTTCCCAACAGAAGCAGAAACCTCCTGAGCCTGGCCTTTACCAGCTGCATTTCTATCAGCAGTCTGGTCCTCTGAGCTCCGACCAGAATCTCCCAGCGAGCTTGGCTTGCAGCATTCCAGGGCTGCTGCTTCAGCTGGCATCTCCAAAACTTTGCAAGCTCTTTCCTTAAGCCAGTTGCAAAGGTTCCTGAACCATATAGTCAGGTAGCGTCACTTCTCTGGTATGAATCTGTTTGCTACCTTCTTGCTGGAATAAAACACCTGCCACCCACAGGTTCAAGGCCCACTCTTTGTGGAGCTTTCAGTCCATCATTGGCTAGCTCCAAGGCAGGGCAGCAGGGCCGAGGGGCTGGCAGAGGAGGCAGTTCATGGCGTGGCCGTGGCCAGCAGGAGGCAGCAAAGGAAAGACTTTCCTTTCCCTGCCATCCACGCCCAACATGGCCTTCCTGTTATCCACACCCAGAGCTTTGCTAAGCCACTGAACTAATCAGTTACCCTGCACCCTGCATCCAATATCACACCCACGATCCAGGCACTTCCCATACCCCTACCTAAGAGGCTTTGAGGGGAGTCTAGATATAAGCCGTAACCGAAATGTACAGCCTTGACAGTACTTAATATGGTTTCACCTCCTATTGGGAGGAGAATTTAAGCTGTGAATACCAAATTTTCTGCCAGGCGTGGTAGCACATGCCTGTAATTCCAGCACTGGGGAGGCTGAGGCAGGAGGATCACTTGAGTTTGAGGTCGATTTTGGGCTACGTCGTGAGTTCAAGCCAGCCTGAACTGCATAGCGAGACCTTGTCTCAAACCACAAACAAAACAAAACAACCCCACAGATTTTCTTACAGGGTTTTGAATGTCAAGTCTTTGTGTCCCAGTGTACTAATGGAGCTGCGGTTTTAAGTTCAGGTAATAGACCCATTTTAAAGAAAAAAATTACTTGGACTCTCAGCAGTGACCCTATTTTTAAAAGTTACCTTAAATAAATATGTATAAATATGAGACTGGGTCTTAGCTCCTTTTGCTTAAAGTGCTTACTCATGACTACAGGGCAAAACCAATTTGCAAATTACTTAATTCTAAATGTAAATAGATGTAGAGAGTAAATGTGGAGCTGTACGCTGGTTGGCTCAGGGGCTGCTTTCTGTGCTGGGACCAGGCGCTGTGCATGAGCGTGGTGGCCTGGGCCCCAGGTGTCTGGGAGGGAGGGAGGGAGGGAGGCAGGGCTGGCACCCCGGCCGCCTTGGGGCTGCTCCGCATGTCTGGACGGCGCCGGCCGTCACTGGGTGTCCACTGGCGGGACCGGGTTACGTGCACGTGAGCCCAGCCCTGACCCTTGAAGCTCGGCGTCTCTCACACCCCGGTGGGCACAGACTCCCTGTCCTGCCTCGGTCGCCTCAGGCAGACCCGGAACACTGCTGTGCTGACACGCGAGGCTCGGCCAGAGGGCTGGAGTTGCAGCTCGCACAGGGAGGTGGTCAGCCCAGCGCTGACACCCGGTGGTCGCGTTTGGTTAGAAGATGGCTGACCAGATGGTTCAGAGGGGATGGATTAACTTTGGACCACCGAAATGTAAGAGAAGGGAAACATTTATGGAGCAAACTTAGAGTCCCCCCAGGCCCACGCCACAGCCAGACAGCAGGCGGACAGTCCAGACGGCGTCCGTGGGCACTGCCCTTCGCCAGGCTGCTGGCACAAACCTCATGTCTACGCCCCTGGTGCTCATCTGCGTCCTTTCTGCTGTCCGGTCCCTCGCGTGCTTTGTGACGGTGGCCTGAAAAGGAAGAGGAATGCGCAGAAAGAGCGCAGCTTGAGAGGGGGAAGGCTCAGGGCGGCAGCCGTTGGGCTGTGCCAAGCCACCTGCTCGGCTCGGCTCAGTGAGGCTCTGCTCAGCTCTGCTGGGCTCTGCTGGGCTCTGCTCGGCGAGGCTGTGCTGCCCCGACAGGAGAGCATGAGGCCTTCGCGCCAAATGTTCACTCACACACAGCCTAGCTCCCTCAGGACTGTCTGCAGCCTACCCTACCCTGTCCTCTTCTCCCGCTGTCCCTTTCCCCTCCGCCCCTTGTGTGACGACAGTAGATTCATGAATGTTTCAGATGCAGAAGGCTGTGTAGCGCCTCCCTCGTAGGGAAGGGCTCCTCTGAGCCTCACATAGCCCCTCGGGCATGGCCCTGATCTCCGTGCTGGTGGTGCTACTTGAAAACGGTCTGTTTGGAACCATTGGCACATAGCAGTGGGTGAGCAAAGATGTGGTGTTGAAGTTTTGTTCCGAAAACGTACCTGCCAGAGGAGCTGAACTCCTGTGGAGAGGGCCACTGGTCGGGGGGTTCTTAGACCTTTTGCGATTGTAGAATCTGCAGGGATCCTTTAAGCTGCCGTGATTCTGTAAGTGGGGTCCAGTTAATCTAGTGCGTGGTTCCTGAGCGGCAGAGCTTTCACCAGACTGCGAAGACGGCTGCAGTGGGTTTCCCATAACGCTGTCCGTGTGCTCAGTCTGAAGATTCGTCCTGAAGGTATGTTTTTGAGATTTGGGGGTGAGAACTGTGCCAAGGGTGAGAACTTCTGCCCGGTGGCCCTTCGGTCCCCACTTGGTTCCTGGCTGTCCTCTTGGGCCATGAGCTGCAGGCTGGACTTGTCCCCTCCCCGTGTCCCCTTCAGCCTGCTCTGCTCCACTCCCGACTGGTGCCCTCCTCCGCCCTCTGCCCAGCCCGGACTTCAGGAGGAGGGCCTCGAGAGCTGGGACTTGCTCTCTCCTCCTAGCCCTGCCCCTCACTCCAGACTCCAGTCCCCGGCATGGCACGTCTTCGGATTGCTTCGAGCCACCTGTGCTTGGGACGCCGGAGTCCTTCTCCCGCCTACGGTCCCTCCCTGCCAGGCCCGCCAGGTCGTGCTGACTCCTCTCCCGGAGTTCCTCTTGTTGGACCCCTTCCCGGGCCTGCGGCTTGCATCCCAGCATTGCCGGACTGTCTTCTGGCACAGTGTTCTCTGCCCAGAGCCCGTCCCCGGCCTGTGGCCTCCAGGCTGTCCCCGCCTGCCCTGTGGGGCTGCTACCTGTTGTCGCCACCCCAGCAGCCTGCCTTCTCTCTGTTCTCGCAGACCGGCCTGCCCGTAGCTTTCCTTCCTGTATGAAGGCACAGGAAGTGCATCCTTTCTCTGGATGCCTTACATTCTTGTGCTTTTTATTTCTGGGCTTGGCTCGGCTCACTGGCTTTCAAGCACAACCCCCTGACTTGGCACTCAAGGGCAAGCCTGTCTGTCTCCTCACCAGCTCGGCCTGCCCTGTAGGGCCCTGCCTGCATGGCAGGGTTTTCAGGGCCTGCTTGTTTGGGGGTTGATTTGAAATTCAGTGCTACTGCGTGCCTGTAACCCCAGCATCTGGGAGGCTGAGGCATAGGGGTTGCAATTTGAGTCTCATCTGCGCCATGTAGTGAGGCCCTGTCTCAAAATACACAGGGCCACGGATATAGCTAGGTGAGAAGGCCCTGGATTCAGTCTCCAGTACCACTGAACAGCTAGACAGGTGGTCAAGGTTCTGAGAGTGGAGTGCTGGCTGGCACGTGCCTGGCCCTGGATTCAGTACTCGGCACCACCAAAAACAAACAAGAAAGCCCCCACATTGTAAGGTCCTTTCTTCTAGCAAAAGAAGTAAGAACAGAATTTCCATTGAGTGAAGGAAAACCTAAAAGACAATAATTTGAAAATGGTCTTCTATAATTGGGAATTTAATGTATACGGTAGTTTTAATAGGAATTGATGAGAATGGTAGGTTTGCCTCTGTAGCTGGCGAGTGTAGCATGCTGGTTGAAAGCTTGCTCTTCGGTCACTAAATCTTTGAGCCCCTCTCCCTGTAAGGGGGTGTTTGTGTCTGCTCCACAGAGCTGTGTGCATTTGGTGAATGAATAAAACTTTGTGTCGTGTTAGTTCGTCTCGGTGAGCGGTGGCCTGGTGCCCGTTGGTCCCTTGTGGGCGTGTGTTGGGGCGACCCTCCCTCCAGAGAGGCGTCAAAGGCAACTTGAGCAGGAGCTGCTGTGACTGGCTGGGAGCTCTGGAACGAAACCCTTGCGAGAGTATTCCAGTCGCCCAGCGAGCCTGGCCTGGAAGGGTAGATCATAGAGCCACGGGATGGACGATTCACGGCCCTCCTGAAGGGCTGATGGTGTCAGGAGAGGGCACAGGGCTAGAGAAAGGGGAGCCGAGGGGAGGCCAGTTCTGGGGGAGCCTTTCTCAGGCACTTCTCCAGGATGCCGGCGAGGGGAGGTCTCATGGGCTGTGGGGCTCCGGGCCGTCTGGACAGGGCCCTGGCCACCAGACAGCTGCTGACCTGGTCAGGACGCTGTGCCCCGGAGCCGCTCTGCAGTGTGGCTTTGACCCTGGTTCTGCCTCCACTTCGGTTTCTGAGGGCAGCAGGGCTGGAACCCCTCAGCGCTGGTCTTTTTATTAGGAGGGGCACCGAGCCTCAGGGCGAAGGATACGGGAAGTACTGAGCCAGCTCAGACATGCGCCATCAGGCTTCGGCGGTCACCTCCACATGTCCAGCCAAATCTAGTTTTTCTGTTTCAGAGCAGGGCCGAGGATTGAGCTCAGTGGTTGTGCTGCCTGCCTCTATTTCAGAGTAACCGCTCCGTGGGAAAGACTGAAGCTTTGCCTCCTTGGGATTGTTGGGAAGGGAACTTGGGCAAGGACGACCACATTTCATTTCACAGAGCGGGCAGTGGACTGGGGGAGCTGTCTGAAAGCTTGCCTTTTCTTTCCTCAGGGGAAAGTGGAAGTGGAAGCTGGGAAAGAAGGCATGAAGTTTGAAGCGAGCGCTTTCTCGTATTACGGCGTGATGGCCCTGACAGCCGCTCCAGGTGAGTCCGCCTGGCCTCGCAGGAGCCCTGCCTTTCCGCGGCCGGCGCTCTGCCAGCTGACCCTTGCTGTTTGCCGTCTGAGCTCCTCACTGACGCACGCCACGTATCCTACGACTGCGACCGCGCAGAGCTAAGCGTGCCCCGATGAGTTCTCACGCTGGACGCACCTGTGTCCTCCAGCGCCCCCCGCCCCCGGACAGCAGCACTGTCAGGCCCCACGCTCCTGAGTCGCAGTCCCGGAAGGTGACCCTGTCGACTCGGACACTGCGCCCGGCCCTCCCTCGTGGGGTGCGTCCTGCCCACTGTGTTGTCCAGGTGGTCACTGCGTGTAGCACCCTGTGATGAGGCCAGTGGACGGGGCAGCTTCCTGCTGCAGCTTGCAGTTCTGTCCACGCGTGATGTGCTTCTGCAGCCTCTGCCACACTGGGCAGCGGCTCCCAAGGGGCTGGCCGGCCCGCTCCTGCCTGTTCCGGGCCGGGGCTCCCCGTCCTTGCCGTCCCTGCTGTCCCTCGCTCGGCCTTTTAAGTAGGAGCTGTTGCAGAGGTTCCATTTGCCTCTTCCTGGTTATCTACTGCCCGCTGCTGCTCTCCCAAGTGTGCATGGGCATTGGCCAGATTCTGTGAGCACGAGATGCCAGCAGGCTGCTCCTGGCCTAGAAGCCTAAACACGGGTCCTGTGGGCGTGGGGCTTGATCGGTTTCTGCCTCGCTTGTCTTTCCCGCACCTGTGCCCACCTGCACACTGGCAGGAGCGGCCTGGAAGGTAGATGAGGTGTTGGAGTGCCACCTGGTGGCCAGAATACCGAGTGACATGCTGGACTAGGAAACTCGCAACTCTGTAAGAGCAGGCCCCGAAAAGAAGGCTGGCACTTCTGAAACCTGCCTGAAAAGGGGCAGCTGTGCCTCCAAACAAGTGTGTGTGTGTGGGGGGGGGCTGGTCTTTGCCTCCTGTGCCCCTCAGCTGTGACTCAGCTGGGTTGGTCTCCTCACTCCTGTGCAGGTTTTTGAGCCCCAGGGGCGCTCTGTCCTCATGCCCAGCTGGTGGCTGTCACCACGGGCCTGTCTGCGCCCACAGCTGGGAGTCTGGTGAGCTTGAAGATGCTCGGCCGATAAAGACCAAGGGCACTTTGGAGCCCAATGCAGGGCACCTCAGGTGCGGGCTCTAGTAGTGAGCGGCCCTGCTGTGCCCCTTCCCACAGGTGGGAGTGTTACTTCCCTTACTGTTAGGACAGACGGCAACGCTATTTAACACAAATGCACATAACCCTTAAAGTGTAGAGGAAAGCTGTTGTGTGACTGTTTTTGGCAGCCAAACTCACATTAGCCTTAGGTTAGTAGAACCAGGTCTGTAAGGTGGTTTTGAAAAGAAAGAAGAGTGAATGGTATACTTGTATTGGTTAGTTTCTTTAAACCTAGACGTTAGCTCCATATCCTGGCCCTTAGTTGAAGGCCAAATCCCATTCCGAAAGGAAGGGAGGAGAGGCCCTTCACCAGGAAACCTCCTCGGCCACCACAGTCTCACTCGCCTAGCTTGGAGCTACCAAGAGGAACGGGAAGTTCATGGACAGCATCTCATTTATTCCAAAGCCTAGTGTTTCACTTGACCTCACAGCTGAGATCTGGGACTCAGGTATTTTCAGGGAGGCACAGTTAGTGCAGGGTGTTTCACTACCAGGAGATGCCTGTTTGTTTACCAAAGTCCCTGCCTGGGAGAAACCTAGGGGTCCTTGGTTCTGCAGACGCCTGCCCTGCGTGTCGGGGGCTGTAGCTCAGGTCCAGCAAGCAGTGATGAACATGACCTTGGTCAGCCATTCTCAGGAAATCGGGGCATAGTATTCTTGACTCCCTTTTGTCTATTTTGAAATTTGAGATACTTATAAAGAAATTCAAAACATCAGGTCAAAATAACAAGACTGGGTGTGCAAAGGCCTCGGATAGCATGTTGCCTGTCACCAAGGGGAGCGCTGCGGGCATTCGGCTTGGTCTGGGAGAGCCGAGCGCTCCCTTTGTGTGGCCATCTGACCAGGCCCTTAATGATGGCTCAGCGCTCTAAACCCGAGTCGGCATCACTGGCTTGGGGATTTCTAGGCTGGAGAAGCTGCCACCGGACGAGATTTCTCCTGGCCCAGCTCCCTCTAGGCCTTCCCGGGAAGCAGCAAGTGCTTGCTCTTGCTTATCCGATGCCACACGGGCTTCTGGTCTCTGGGATCAGTGCTCCTATGGGTAGAACAGGTATCCGCTCCTGTCCCTGATTAGAGATTGCCTTTCTTGCCTTCTGATACCGTCTCACCCTGTTTTTCTCCGTTTTTCAGTTCCTTTGTCCCTGTCTCGTACCTTTGTTGTCAGCAGAACAGAGTTGTTAGCAGCAGGCTCTCCAGGTAATTCTGCATGTTTCCTTTTCATAATTCTCCCAATTGCTTACCCTCGACCTCTAGAAAGCTTGGCCGGCCACGTCTGCCCCCTCTCTTTGACCCCTAAGACCGTTAGGTTGTCTGAGTTCATAGTGAGCTACGGGGAAGCATAAGCCACGGCAGCTGCAGAAACCTGCAGAAGCCCGGGAACCTGCGCAGGGAGCGAGCGCGGGGTCGAGGGAGCGGCGGAGCATGCGCAGTCCCCGCCCGGCCCACCTCCCTGGGCCGGAGTTCGCAGGCTTCCTGTGGGCCTCAGAACTGAAGGGAGAACCCACTCATCTCCGGTGGAATGCATTCAGCCAAAACTGAAGGACTGGGAACGTTCTTTGGCAAGCAAGGAAAATTCCCCCTCCACAGAGGCCGACTGCCCACCTGCTTCTTTGGTCCTTGCTCCAGCACGCGTGCGAGCGCGTGCATGTGGTCCCGCTCTCCACCGGGCAAGGGTCCTGCTGCTTTGAAATTAGTACGGTGCACATTCCTACCCAGCTACTGATTATTTCCCTGCCGGGGGCTTTGGCCGTGCCTGGCTAATATGTCCAACCCTTAAAAAGAAAGGGAACGGCTTAATCTTTCTTTAATTAAAATCACTGGGCTTTCCTATTGGGTGACACAATTTTTCTGTATTATTTTGTCACACACAGTTTATATTTTTAAACCTGAATGATGAAACTCGCATTCCATAACCCACTTTCAGCAAAACTCGCCAATGCTGCTGCTTGATGGAGGCGGCAGTCCTTGTCTCAGAAGGGAGCTAATGACCCTCAGACCTTTGCGGGGAAGCTGGAGTACGGGGGATGAAACACAATCCACAGAGCTCTGTAAATGGGGCCGGGCAGCAGAGGACACACAGACATGTACACGTGCGGTGTGTGGGTGTGCATGCACACCATTATGTTTTCCTCCCCAGTGTACTTGCTTGTGTCTGCCACCTATTTATTTTTGGAGGTGTTTTATTTTGTTTTGTTTTTTGAGACAGGGTCTCACTATGTATTCCAGACTGGCCCTGAACTCACTATGTGGCCCAGGCTGGCCTCGAACTTTCGGTGATCTTCCTGCCTCAGCCTCCCGAGTGCTGAGATCACAGGCGTGTACCACCATGCCCGCTTCTGCTACCTATTTTCAATGTCCCAGATGCTGAAGTAGAGGACTTTTGGAAGAAGCCCATAGAAAGGTCATTTGCATTTTGCTTTTGCTGTAGAATTAGAGATTTCTTAGTTCTGCTCACTGCACCTGATCCAGTAATAGAAGAGTCCACCTTGCGGTCCCGGCCTGCAGGCTGCCTGGTAGACAGGCCTTGGACTAAACTGGCAGCTTCCATCCTCTCCCTAGGGAGGACCCCGCTGTGCCTCCCCACTCAGGGCCACAGGAAAGGGTCCTAGGCAGGACAGACAAAGTCCATCAAGGCGGTCACAGGAAGCAGAGTCACAGTGCTGAGAGGGTATGGTGGGCCTGGAGTTCATAATCTCTGGCATCCAGAAACGTGACCCGGCGTGAGGGCCAGTCGCCCTGCCTGCATTTGTAGACTGTGATCCTCACAGTCTTGCTGCAGGCTGCCCAAAGTAGCCAGTGCAGTGCTGTGCATGCTTCAGGGTGTCTCTGCCCCACAGGTGTGTACCAGGCTGTGGGCTGCTACTGTCACTGCGCCACTGTTGCCATGACTGAATTGGGGGCTGAGCAGTGCGCTGGCCCACCGGGTCCTGGAAAGCAGGCTGCTTCTCCACACTGGCTGTGATGACAGAGGAGAAAGCCCCTCCTAGGAACAGGGCAGTAGTCACTAATGGGCCTGACCTCCGCCTGCCAGTGCCTGGGGTCTGGCCGGGAAGCCACGTGACCCGTGCCAAGCTGTAAATATCGTTAGATGGGGATCTTCAGGAATGGCAGTGGGGCTCGTGGGTGAAGCTCGGGCGGGGATGCAGTGGGACCCCTTATTTCAGAGAACTGGTGGGTCCATCCTGTGAGGAAAGGCTCAGTCCTGAGAGCGGGTGATGGGGGAGGTCTGAGTGGACCTTTGAGGCTGCACGTTTCACATAAGGATTCTGAATTTTACCAAAGTCAGGTCACCTGGTCGGAGTTTCTTTCTGCTAAGGATAAAGCGCTGAGAAATCGTTAATGTGCTTTGTTCTCTTGGAAGAAGATGACAGGACGCAGCAGGAGGGACCGCTAGCCTGAATTTAACTCTAACAGTGGAAAACTTGCTCAGGACATGACAAATGCAGGCACAAGTGTGGTGGCCTCCTCCTCAGTCCAGCACGGTCAGGGCTGGCCATTGGCGGGCTGAGGGGTTGCTGTCGCTTGGGAGCAACGGGAGGGGAGGGGAGAAGACCCAGGAGAACAGAGCTCTCTTCAGAATCACAGGCTCTGTGCTAGAGTGGAGTGCGCGGGCCAAGGCGGCAGGTTTTGATTGGCCTGTGACACCTTCCGATGGCTGAAGGACAGCGCCAGCTGCGGCTGCTGCTGGTGGAAGCCTGTCAGGGAGAGCCACCCCGGATGGGAGAATGGGTTCCCTCCACTCTGACATGATGCAGTGCGGGACCTGTTCACCTCGGGCACCCAGCTCACATCAGCGCAGGAGTTGTTTAGAAGAACAAACATGAGGGCCGGGGATTTAGCTCAGTGGTTTCGCCGTCTGCTGCGCAAGTGCAAGGACCCGAGTTCGATCCTCGGTATCAAAAAAAAAAACAAAACAAACATGGAAGAAGCCTTAGCGGAGGTGGGTTGTTTTTGATGAAATTTATATTAAAAGTCGCAGCACGCTTCCTCTGAGAGCGGGACAGTTACACTCATCTGCATCTCCTTTCTTTTTCTCCTTTGGTGGTACTGGGGATTGAACCCAGGGCCTTCACACAGAGCTCCATCCTCAGCCCTTTTAAAATTTTTAAACAGGGTCTCACTAAGTCATTGAGTTGCCCAGGCTGGGCCCAGCCTTGTGATCCTGCTGCCTTAGCCTTCCAGAGAGCTGAGGTAGGCGTGCACCACCACACCCGGCTCTCAGTTCATCCCAGTGGAAGAGGCCATCCAAATCCCTCCGCAGGACCCCACGCCCCTGAGCCACCTCAGCCACGCTTGTTAGGGGCCCGGCCTCGTGGTTTTCTTGGATGCCGCGGAGGGTTCTGGGCCGGATCGGATGAGGGGGTGGGTGGTGATCGGGTTGCCTGGCTGCGTGCTCCGAGCCAGCAGAGGTATTTTGTTCTCTAAGATACGTGCGGCCTCGTGAGCATCTGAGCCTGGCTTCTACTCTGGCTGAGTGAGGAGGGCTGACTCGGGAGGGCGCCCCACTTGTGTCCCGCCGCCTCGCCTCGCCTCCCTCACGGGTCTGCTCCCCTTGCAGGCGAGAATAAGTCGCCCCCGCGCCCGTGCGGCCTCAATCACTCGGACTCCCTCAGTCGCGGGGAGCGGCTCGACGCGGTGACGCCGCCGACGCTGGGCAGCAGCAACAATCAGCTCAACTCCTCCTTCCTGCAAGTCTACATCCCCGACTACTCGGTGCGGGCGCTGTCGGACCTGCAGTTCGTCAAGGTGAGTGGGCCCAGGTGCAGGGCCACTTCCTGGAGCGAGCTCCTGCCTCCTGCCCTGTAGAAGGCTTCTCTTCTTAGTCTGAAACAAAGACATCTTTGGAGATCAGGCCAGATTTAACTGGTAGAAACTGATCTCAATTTTCTAGTCTCAGAAAAATAATTTTCAGTACTGGGGACTGAATCCAGCTCTACCACTGAGCTATCTCTGCAGCCTTTGTTATTTTGAGACAGGGTCTCTGTATGTAGTGGTACTAGGGATCAAACCCAGGGCCCTCTGTCTCGGAGCTACATCCCCAGCCTTTTAAAACTATTTATTTATTTAGAGACAGGGTCCTGCTATGTAGCTCAGCTGGCCTTGAACTCAGTTTGCCTCAAGCTGACCTCAAACTGCCTGAGCCTCTCAAGGGCTGGGATGATAAGAATGCTCCACCACGCCTGGCTTTTTTTTGGTACTGAGGATCGAACTCAGGACCTTGCCCTTGTGAGGCAAGTGGCGGCACCACTGAGCTAAATTGCCCAGGCTGGTCTCACATTTGCAGTCCTCCAGCCTCAGCCTCTTGGGTAGCTGGGATTACAAGTGTGTGCCACCACGCCTGGCTATCTGTGAAATTTAAGACAAAATTTGGAAATGGGTTACATTAGTAAGAATTGACTTGTCCACGTCAATTTGGACCTCAGAGTGGCCGGTTTAAGCCATGCACAGTGGCACCACCTGTAGTCCCAGCTACCCAGGAGTCAGAGGCAGCGAGGTCTCTGGAACCCAAGAACTTGAGGACAGCTCGGACAGCTTAACAGATCCCCATCTCAAAGAAAAGAACATGGCTCAGTTTGTACTCCACAGTGGTTTTTCTCGCAGAGCGCTGGGTGGGTGTGGGCTTCGATGCGTGGCGCCCTAGAGGGAGAGGGCCTGACCCTGTGCCCCTCCTGGTTTGTCGGCCCCAGATCTCCAGACAGCAATACCAAAATGCCTTGATGGCATCCCGAATGGACAAAACCCCTCCGTCATCAGACAGCGAGAACGCTAAGATCGAATTGACTCTCACGGAGCTGCACGATGGCTTGCCGGACGAGACAGCCAACCTGCTCACCGAGCAGAACTGCGTGGCGCACGGCAAGGCCAACCACAGCCTGCACGGGGAGGGCGCCATCTAGGCCATCAGTGTGGGCTTGACCGCTGCAGTGTCCTTGACCTTCTGAGACCAAAGACTTTGTCCCTTCCCAGAAGCCACGGAGGACAGGACAGGACAGGACAGGACAGGACAGGACAGGACGGGACGGGATGGGACGGGATGGGATGGGAGGCGGACCTCGAGGTGGGAGGACAGTGCTGGAGATCCGGAGATAACTTCTGCCCAAATAGAATCATGTTTATTTTTTCAGCTGTACCTTTATCATTACTCACTCTCCTCCCTCAATTTGCATGAAGTTGAAAATTGTCACGATTTATTTTTTCAAGAGATCATGTTTTTTAAAAGTGTCTTTTGCAGAGTTTTAAGTCGTTCTGTCTGAACTCTGCTGTGGTCGGTGATGTGATCCTAACTGATGACTGGCCCTCGGGGGCTTGGGGGGTCGGGCACCTGCCTCTGCCCGGCAGTGTTGTTGCTGCGAATTTGAGGAGTGAGGAGAGCCAGGGCTGTCGTCCTGCTGAGCCTCTGGGGTTGTCCTGAGATTCACTGCTTAACCATGCCCGTTTCCCTCAGGAAGGGGATTTGCTTGGGAATGTGATTTTGTTCCCACCATAGGGAATTTTTATCACCAAAATGAATGTTAATGAATTTTGAGCCCATAGTTTATCATTGGCAAGAGGCATGTTGACTGCACCCCACCATTCCTGCCCACCCTAGCCCGACGCCCCCACGCAGATGTCCAGCGGAGCACCAGGGCTCTTCTGCACGGTGCGGTCACCCTCCTGCCCTTCCTCCCATGTAGGTAGCCAGCAGATGGGGTGACACGGGCCTGGGGCTGGGAGGGCATTTCTAGACCTGTGTTCCTAAGGAGGGGACTTTGGGGATTGCCAGCCCCTGCCCCTCCGTCCAGGCCTGGGGCCCAGCAGTAGCCGTGTCCGCTGCCTGACTGGAAGGCTCAACTTGGCCCCAAACGGACTCAGAAACCAAATGTGTGCTGTGGCTGTTTCGTGTCTCTTCCTCTCTTAATACCAAATCCACCGTGTGTTGTGGTGTTAACATCGGCAGGTGTTTTCGTGGGACCGAATTGTTGACCCACTTACTGATTTCGGGTGGTAGCGGGGGCCCTTGTGCATCTTCCTGGCAGTGCTCATACCTGAGACGGCTCCTCCCGGTCACCTCCGTGCGGGATTGTCCCTGCCCTCTGCGCCAGCTCTAGCGGAGAAGTTTGCCTGTGTGCACACTCCGGGGTGCGGGGGCCCTGGGTTCAGCAGCTCTGGGGGTGACATGCTGGGCTGGCTTTCTGGTGAGCAGTGTGGTGGTGACAACCCTGGAGTGTCTTCCTCAGGACGTGCTTGTCGCTAGGGGCTGCAGCCCTCTGCTGGCCCCCGTCCTGGGCTGTGGGAAGGAGCCCCACCGTGTGGCGTGACCTTAGTTGAACCCCACATGCCATCTACCCCGCTTTGCAAATGCACCCAGCTGAACACAACACCAGCGTGACCCATGGCCTGCAGCGAAAGTGCCCGAGAACAGAGTGCATCTGGCCCCGCCGGGCCAGGGCTCTCCCCAGCACACTGCCGCCTTGCGTGGAGGCGGGGCCCGGGGGCCTGTGGGCGCCTTCGCTGACAGTGTGGGCAGCGAGGCGGGCCCAGCTGAGCCTTCCCCGCCGTCACCCACTGAGGGAGGTGGCTTGCCAGGCCCTCTCAGGAGCTGGCAGGGCGGCTCTGCAGGGGCTCCCGAAGCCCACCAAGTTTGGACTCACTTCCTGTTAACTATGGCTCTTTACCTTTGATTATTCATGCTGTTTTATAACAACAAGGAATCCAAAACTAGCTCCTGTCTGGTCCCTGGCAGAGCGGAGGTGAACTTCTGCTCTCCCGTCATACAAGGCCCCTGGCTGAGGAACAGCTTCCTCCTCTAAGCCCCACTGACCCTCAGGCGGATGGAGGCGACGTGCTAGCCCCGAGCGTCCCTGGGCTGGGGGAGTGGGGTCTTGGCTGAGAAGGCCCAGCTGCCCTGCGGCAGACAAGGGGAGGCAGCAGGTAGCTGGAACTTGGTGGCGGCGACTCCCTCTGTGCTGCTCTGGGTGGACGCTCCTGCCCGCAGCTGCTGTCTGCCGCGCTGGAGGCTGTGGGTGCTGAGCTGTAGACAGGAGACTGCTGTCACCAAGCCCTCACCTCCTCTCGGCCTTGCTGCCCTGGCACCCTGAAGGCACCTCTGCAACTGGATTCCTAGTGTCTGAATGTTCCCGGGACACTTTGCCTTCTCTGTAAACAAGGAGGCTTCTTCCTCCTGTCTTAGCGGTCATTTTCCTTTCATTGTTGTGTTCTGTATTATCAGGCAAGTCCAAAGTCATACATTTAAACTCTTGGGAAAGCAGAGCCCTATGATTTGTGAATACTGGGGATTGAATCAACTAGCTTCAATCTCAGTTCTTAAGTAATTTGAAAGGAAGCCACATACGATTCAGTTCTTCCTCCTCCCTCTCCTGCCTCCCTGTAGGGTGTGTGTGTGGATACAGGCATAGCTGGTCCCTGGCAGGAGGAGTAGGGCATTTGCCACTGCTCTCTTGTGGCATTTCAAGGAACTTGTGCAAATAGTTGTTGAATGCAGAGCTTCACGCTAATGTGGTACAGAAGTGTGAATGGACTTAATCTGCTATCCCCATTCCGTGCAGCTAAAGGACCAGCTTCTCCAAGTCTAGGAAGATGACAGTAGATTTGAAGAGAAACCCATTTTTCCTAGGAAGTGGAGCGATAGGATTTTGAGCTAAGTAGGAGCCATGCAGCTGTCCTCAAATCCTAGAGGCGCTGGCTGATTGAGCCTATGTCTGGCTAGGAAAAACACTGCCGGCCCTGACATCTTCTGAAGGCCCAGGCCCAGGGTATGAGGTCTCCCCAGAACTCTGATCCCAGGCAGACGACTCCCCCAGAGTGGTGGTGGAAGGTGCTCCCCTCCCTGGGCCCCCAGGGCTGGGCTTTGCACATGGTACTTTGTGGCCCAAGCCCTGGTGATGCGGGCTGCAAACAGCTCTGCTGGAGCACAACACAGCAGGCTCTGGAGGACACAAGGTGAGCCGGCAGGGCGGGGCTGGCCGGGCAGCATTCGGCTCTCCCCCGGGCTTCCCAGAATCAAGAAGGATTTAGAGTTGAGTAAGAAAGTGGACTTGGGGTTCTGAGAGTTTTCTGATGCAGACTTAACCATAAGTGAGCTACTCAGTGGACTCTCATGCCTCAGGGCTGTTAGTTTTTCTTCTGTTTGAGTGAACTGATGAGCGAGAGGGAGAGGTCTGGAAGTGTCTGGGGTGAGGTTCATTGCCTCCCTCTGAGGGTGAGTGGCGCTGAGGCTGGGCCCGCTGATACAGTACTGTCCTTCATGGCGGTGACATGTGGGCTTCCCACCAGCAGTCACCTGCTTTCTGCCTCTGCAGCTTCCTTCCTTATCTGAAGTCTCACATTCCAGAGTTCCTGGTCAGCCCTGGGACAGGAGGAGATGGTGTTCACAGCCACTGTACAGTGGGAACAGCCTTCCCCCCACTGCCTTGGGCTGGGGCTCTGCTGCTTACACTCTGGCTGGCTTCATTCAGGTAACCTTTGACATCATAGACACGTGTTAGACGTCTTGCGATGAGAAACCCCAAGTGGTACTTTTAACAACATGGAAGCGGAGGTGATAGTGGCAAGAGTCATGTCGGTGTTCCTGTTTGAAGGCTTGTAGAGATCCAGTGCGTAGAGCAAGATGTGAGCACGTAGACACATGCTCAGGAGTTCATGCCCACCGAGACCAGGAACGCACAGGATGGCTGGCGGTTTGTCTTGCTTCACTTGGGTTGGTACCTTTTGGTGTTTGCCCACCTGGTCAAGGTGGGTTTCACTTGGGAAGATACATCCTGAAGAGAACTATCACAGGGGTCTGGTGGGTTTCGGTGATCTGCCCCCTTTCTTGGAGTCTCAGCCCCTTTGAGTATCACCAACAGTGGTGTCCCGGCCCGTCAGAGCAGCAGGAAGTGGGAAGGTGAGATCTTGGGGTTCTCACTCCCCAGAGAACCCCCTTCTGATTCACTACTTCCGACGTCTGATGTCTGCAAAGGTGGAGTGTATCATCCCATTGACTTATTTCTGCAGTCCTTTAAATTCACAAGTGTATATGCTTTGTATTATTTATTATGTACATATGCCTCTGTTAGTCCATCGTCTGTGATTAAGCCCCTCGTCCATGGAGCTGAGGATTGTGTTGCCCCTTAAGTTGGGCGAGAGGGCAATGGTTTGTTGTTTTGTTAAAAACATATTGCTGCTCTTACGTTGGCCCTAGCGTCACAGCCCCTTATTGGGTCCACCTCGCCTCTGATCCGTGTTTGGGAAGACGGTGGAGCCAGGTCTCCTGCCTGTGGCAGGGCCTCCCACGTCCCTCCATGAGGTCCTGAGGAGGTGGTGCCTTTGGTGGCAGGGTCTTCCCTGTCCCCAGCCCCCTCCCACCTCCTGAGCCAGGCCCGCTGCCTGGCCCCAGTGACGGCCTCTACTCCCACCCTGGCCTGCAGAGTCAGTCTCCACAGACCGTGGAAGCCCGTCCCAGCCGTGTGGGACCCAGTGCTGACATTGCCGTGGTCCTCACATAACTCCCTGCCTGTCTTTCGTCCTCCTTGGCCTTTAGCCACTGTCATGGTGTACACGGCAGGCCTTGAGCAGTGAAGGTTTTCTGAGCGCAGCACTCAGAATGATGTGAAGTGAAATAAGCACAAGTCAAGTGTGTAGGGTTCAAGAGCTGATGGTCAGCTGATTGTCATGATGCATTTTATAATTCAAACAATGTTGTAGATTTACAATCTCTATTTATTTTGTACCAATTTATTTGTAAATTTTGATTGTTTTAAAAAGGTTTTTATTTCTATTCTGTTTAGATAAATGATGATTTTCTGTTCACCCTTTCCCCTTTCATCTGTACAACGCCAGTCGTGCCATCTTGTCCAGTCCTGGCCTCTGCCCAATTGCATGACTATTGCTGGGGAAGCTGGAGTGGAGCTTAGCATGGTCACACAGCAGGGCAGCTCTGGACAAGACACTCAGTCTTGTGTTAACAGAGCAATGGCTGCAAGTTAGCGCCAAATTATTGACGAATACAAGCCACTTCCGGGGGACTGAGGTCGGTTCCGTATCAGTTAATCCTTACTTAGGTAAGGATACTCTTGAGTATGCAGCCAGCTTGGCTAGTCACTGGCTGCTAGGCCACCCGTAAATGTACAGTTCAGCTGGGCAAATGACCACACTTGGGTTTTCCTAGGCAAGAGCAAAAGCTTCATGCAGGCCTTCCAATTGGCTCTTGCAAACGAGAGGCTCTGTAGGTCTTCCTCTCTCAAATCTGTAAGGTGGGAGCAGGCATGGATGGGTCACTGAAAATTAAACACACCTTGCCTGAGTATGGGAAGACGTGTCCCAGGGCTTGTCTGGGACTCAGTGGACGTCCTCCGTCCCCCAGCAATCCATGTATGACCCTCACTACTTCAGGTCTTCTGTCCCTACTGGTCTTCCTGTTGAGTGTCAGGGCTCTGTGATCCATTCCTAGGCCATATTCTTTCTGGAATCCTCCTCTCCCCCTCCTCCAATTTTATTTTACATTCGAAAGATGGTCATGCTGTACTTAACCATCCACTTTGCTGACCCTTGCCCTGTGGATGGAGACATTTCCGTGAAGACCAGCCCATGAGACCAGCCCTGTGACACTGACCTACCCACCGCTCCCATCTCCCCAGTCGTCAAGCATCTCAAGTAGGAGGTGCCCCAGTGAAGTGCTGTGGTTCTTCGAGCCTCTCTGCTTTCCTGCCAGCAGGAAATACTGATCAGTCTTACAGAGAAAGTGACAAATACAAGCTGACGTTGCTGTAGCCTGGAACTGACTTCTGGAACTTTTATAAAAATTTCGGAGGCTAATTAGTCTGATTCCTTATTAAAGCCCCAAAGTTGGATTAGATGGCTAATAAACTTTGTACGACTGCTTCATCATCATCTCTCCACGGGCCTCGTGTGTGTTCCTATTTTCACCAAGTCCCAGGAGGAAGGGATGGTCGGAGGATGCTTTTTGTCATTGTTCTGGTGGCGAGTACCCCGCCCCGCCCCCGGTAGAGGACTGAGGCCCGAGGATGCCAGTCTCCTGCTGGACGCGCCCTTCGTGCTGGGGCTGGTGCCTGTGAAGTGTCCAGACAGCAGGCTGCACAGCTTTCCGACTGAGCCCACTCGGCTCAAATTAGACTTGTGAGCAGTGGATCCAAACACAGTTACTTGCTTCAAAATACCCATATGCACAAGTCAAAGGTTACCTCTGGTGAGAAGCCTCTCTCGAAAGAGACTGGATATTTAATATACTTCTCAACGTCAGAAGGGTTTGCTTGGCAAATCCTCTTTCCAAGCATCTCAGGAACTTGTGAGACTTGGAAGGCCCATAGTTGTGTCGATGGGAAGAGCGTGCACCCTGCTGCCGAGGCCCGTGTGTGAGGTTACCTGGCTCAGTCCCTTTCAGGCGTCCACAGCCGTTCAGGAAGCACTCGGTGGGACAGCAGAGCATTCGGGGACACACCTGTGCCTCATGCGATGCATGAAGCAGTCTACTCATCCACTCTTACCCTAGTAAAATGGAGCCCAAGGTACTGTATCTTATTTTGCATTAAGAAATATAAAGAGGCCAAATTCAAAACTCATTTTAAATTGGAAAATACAGGTTACTTACAAGCAAGTTTGAGATGAAAACACCCATGAGCTCAATTAGGAAGTTTTCTGTGTGAAAGCTCTACACAGGAACTTAACTTCTGCACAGAGTCATGTGTCCTGACAGCGGGAACAAGAGAAATACGTCATTAAGTGACTTCACTGTGAGACATCACAGATGTGCACTTACACAAAATAAGACTAGGCTATGCTCAGCAGGCCGGCCTCACTGTGCCGCTGACTGAGATGTTGCTTTGTAGCACATGGCTGTCCTGGGTTCTGAAACGACTTACCTTTGTAAGGTTGTTGTAGCCTTGGGATGATGTTTGACGAGGGAAAATGGTTGAGAACAGGAAAAAAAAGGTTTTTTGTAAGACTCTCATTTTAGATTTGCTTCCTGTGCTGTCTAGAGACCTGTGTGAAGTGCTAGTGGAGGTGTCTGGCGGAACAGCGTCAGTCACTGAAGTCAGCTAGTTTACTTTCTGGCTGCCACACGTGTACGCACCCCTTCCCCTCCACAGTCCGAACACAGGTCTCCATGCCAGCACTGCCAAGGAGCTCCATGGTGAGGTTTTGTTCTCAGGGCCTCCAAACATTGGCTTTTGCTTGAAATTATTCCCATTTGAGGACAAAATTTAAAAGCTGGAATCCTAGTCACCAAGAAAGAATGTCATGAGAAACATAAGTAACAAGGCCTAAACTAACCAAGGGAGGAATTAGGCTCTTAATGGTATGGCAGTAGCTAGGTCATAGTTACCATTTTTCCCACTATCAAAGAGAGGTTAAATAGTTTCCATCACATGGAATGTGGATAAGGTTCTTAGCCTAATACAGACTTAAATATGCAGTTGTTTGTCTCAGGCTATTTGTGGTGCCTAAGAGTATTTCAGAGTGCCCAGGCAGCTTTGGAAAATTGAGGGCTTTAAAGTTGTTGACAAAATATTTCTTAAATCTGATTTAGAAATATCTAAACATGGACAAAGTACTTTTAAATCTGACATGCAACTGCAATGTGGCTTTCATAAGTGGTTTATTAAAAACAACTCTAGAGCCGGGGATTTAGCTCAGTGGTTCTGCCGCCTGCCTCGAAAGTGTACAGACCTGGGTTCGATCCCCGGTGCCACAAAACAAAAAATTCTAACATGACTTAAGGGTTTGTAGCTCTCAGTTATTGTAGTTCTATTAAAAATCACTTCTGAAAGCATCTTAGAAACCGTAGCTTGAAGGGCTTGGTTATTTTACATTTCAACAGAGAAATCTTAGGTCTCAAACACAACACTACACTTTCTTGGCCTGAAAAACTATTTCTGAAATGCACTTCTTGAGCTCTAACTGACCCATTTGCAGCACTGGGCAGTTCTCCCAGTGCAGACGTAGCTGGGCCTGGTCTGCAGGACCTCTTACCAGGCCCCATTCAGTACAAGCCCTGGTGCAGTTCTTCCAAACTCTCAGGAAGGGCATGGCTGACCTGACAGTCTACAAAGCTTCTAAGTACTGCTTTCATAACATCTGGAAAAATTTACTCAAAAGAGATGAAGATGTGTCTTCTCATGATCCAAAATTCTTTAGGTTTTTCAAAAAAGGAAGAAGAGTATACATTGTAAGTTTAGCTTCTGTAATTATTGAAGGTGGAAAGAAACTCACAAGTCATGTAAAAAGCCCAGCCACAGCTGCTCTGGTGCCTGCAGAAACATCCATTCTCTGGCACACTTTCAGTGAGCAGCACCACACTGCTCTCTTGGACTCCGTATGGGGCCCCAGCGCCAACACAGTGTTCTGTGGTCCTGGTCCTGAACAAAGCTGGGACTGGCAGTGGGAGAGGAGGCTCATTCCATTGTGTGCTGCCTTCCACCTCTCAGTCTATCCAGTGAGTCATCCGACTGCCAGAGAAGTATCTACTAGTAAGTTGTTACATGAATACAAAAAGTATGAAAAATAGTGATCGCGTTGGTCTTCACGGTATAAAGGAACCTATGTAAATGTACTATTATATAACTGCAGTTATAAGCCATTTAAAGATTTAGGTTTGAAAAAATGTAAGACTCAAAATGGGCAACATCTTTACCTTGAGTGATGAAAATTACTGACTGGGGTGACACACATTCTCTCAAACTCTGGAACAGGGTAGCATCTAATTGTTACCTGCAAAAGCACTTCTAACCTGGCTCTTAAAGGACCACCTCTTCTCCAGATGCCAATCAGAATGTAATTTCTTGGCATGAGTTAATCTACACCCCTGCGTAGGCAGTGTGCACAGTACTTGGATAAATTACTAAGCTGTGTTCCTTACCTCTATGACTTTTTTTAAAAGTCTCACTTCAGTCTTGTGCCAAAACACTTTGTGAAAAAATTCTCAAGTCTATGAAGCATTACAGATATAATCATGTTCGACTGTATAAATTCTTGAGTGTTTCCTTTTAACCAAAAGAGATGTGGGCATGTTTAGCATTTTTTGAAAATGTCTGTGTCCCTTAAAATGTTAAACTGATGTCACTAAACCAAACCTGAACCTACTTGAAGACCAGTAACTACTCAGTTGTGCTACAGAAGGGGTCAAAGTCAGTATTAGAAACTTTACTTTATTGAATTCTAGAGCAGCTAGTCTGTCCTCCCGCTGATCCATGACAGTAAGAATGTAAGAAAATATATAATGTCAGAACCACTTTCCCTCACTGGCGAGGCCGTTCTAAAGCCCTAATGTGTGCTGAATCATTCTTGTTAAAAACAAGTGATTCCACTTAGGATTCTGAAGTGAGCTGGTTGTGCCTTTTGCTGTGGTAAGGTCTGGCTCAGAACACCCTCTTATCCTTTGCCCAGTGTGGGCAATGTGGAACTGGGTAGCAGGAACCGTAATTATAGGCCACAGTAATTAATTTTACTCAGTTGTGCAATAAATTGAGGCGGCTCATTCTTTCCCTTTCTGGCAGTTTGCTCCTTTTGACTTCTTTCAGCTGTATTCTTTTACAGATTTATCAGATGAGAAAAATGTTGTTTTTAGATAACAAGCATTTGTGCTATCACAACCTAAAAGACATGTAAAAAGGATGGGTTTTTGCTTCAAGATAGAATCCTTGCAGTCCAGCCAGTCTGGCCCTGACAGAGCCACAGCCTTGCCAGGCCAGGGAGGATATTCAACTTATGAAAAGAAACTTGGCCTTAGCAGAAAACTACACTTGATAATGGAAATAATGCATTTCTCCACTGGTATACGATACTGTGTGAAGCACTGAAGAAGTTGGATTTTGGAGTAATAGCATTTGTGAATCCCTCATCCCACGTCCCTCTACCCCGAAGCCACACACCACCCTAGCACACCGAGACAACACCGATGACGAGAGAGACATGGCCGCGGGCCACACAGCCATCTGTGTGCGCTTCAACCCGCCTTGACCCTTACTTTCTTCCAGTACAGACTCCATTGGGATTCTGAACCATTCCACACAAAAAATACAGATACATAAAACTGAAAGAAGTATCTCTCTGTGATTAGATAACTTTAAAGTCTTCAGAAACTTTCCAGATGTACTTCTGATGGAGCCCCCCGCCCTCCCTGGGAGAACCCAAACAAGGACAGCCTTGCTCCCGTGAGTGAGTTCTTCCAGCGCTTGATTAATGGATGGTCAGGTTTGGATTTTCCTCCTCATTCTTCTTCTTCCTCATCATCATCTTCGTCATGGCAGTGGGTGATTTCTTGGGGGGCCAGGGGGAAGAGGTTGGGGGGTTTAATCTCGCTGATGGACCTGGTCAGCTGGTGCCGCTTGTAGTCAGTGTCTTTGAAATCCACTGATGTGCGGTTGCGGGTGGCGAGGGGGGACTCCATCTCATTGATGTCCACGTGTGTGTGCTCCACCGTGGACTCATGAGGCATCTAGAACAAAGCCAGGGGACTCAGAAGGTAGGTAGAGCGAAATAACCTTAATCATTCCTCCCAAATCCTAACTTCTCCTTTGTTTCACAGCCACCCAGAATTATGTCTTAATGGACCAGAGCTAAAATCATTATCTTGCCCAACATATGGGAAATGTGGAACTGGGTAGCAGGAACCATTATAGGCCATGCTAATTAACTTTAATCAATTGTGCAGTAAATTGAGGAGGAGGCTCATTCTTTCCCCTTCTGGCAATTTGCTCTTTTTTCTTCTTTCAACCATATTCCTTTATAGATCTATCAGATGAGAAAAACAGACCATACCTAAAACTGCCTTTCTTCCTATCCCCAAAACAAACTGGTGAGGCAGAAGAGAGAGGTCCTAACTTTCTATTTCATAGTCAGCACTGAAACGGCAGTATCACAACATAGGAATTTTAAAAAGCCACATTTCTTTTAATTAGTAGTGACAAAGAGGAAAGTTTTCTCCATTCAGTGTAACATTTGGTAGACTTCAGAGACTAAAGTTATAGTCCGTAAGCTTCTATCTTGCTCATATTTTTTCAAAGATTCCTTGGGCAGCCACATAACCTGTCCACAGGCTTTGTGTCACCCTACAAAGCCACACTGCAGATCCTGATCTTAGTGTTGTTTTATTTTTTATTACTTTTATTGCAGTACTGGGAGTTAAACATACTCAGGGGCACTTTATTACTGAGCTACATCCCCAACTCCTTCTGAGATGGGGGTCTTGCTAAGTTGCTCAGGCTGGCCTTGAACTTAGAATCCTGCCTGAGCTTCCCAAATAATTGGGATTATAGGTGTGGGCCAGGGCACCTGGCGTAGAAGTGCACTGTAGCTGTCAAAATAACTGCTCACCAGGACATGGGCAGCTCTGAAGAGGTAGCTGAACGGATAGTACAGCAGGTTGATGAAAGATGCAGCGTAGAGATCCGCATAGCGCATCACTTGACTGGCAAAGAGCGTCTGCCGGGAGCCACTGCGAAACAGGCTCCCCATCATCCCATAGCACATATCCATGTCATGCGTGACTTTCTAAAAAAGAACAAGATTGTTCTCAGTTCACTGCAAATATTTACTGGGTACCAGCTATATGCCAGTCCCTCCATAAAATCAGAAATACGGAAATCATGTCAATAATTGGTTTTCCCAGCTTCCTCCAAAATCCTACTCAGATACCTTAATACGTCTCTGGATGGAACTAATGTCTGGGCGCTCATTGCTACTGCTGTCAAGGTGCCTGGAGACAAGAGGGAAAACCCAGTGAAAATTGCTACACAATATTTCTTACACCTGTATGACTCCTGAAGAGGCAGACGGTTTTCAGGGAAGAAATTTTTTGGAATGGGAAACTTACTTGTAGAGTTCAGCCAAGAAAATATCCAAGCTCTGAAGTTCTTCAAAAAGCGCTGGTTGAGGTTTGGAAAGGAAAGAAAAATGTTTTACATAAATCAAGTTTTAAAACATGGCTCAGCACTAACATGCTGCATGAAGGTGTATAAATGACTTCTTCCTCCTCTAGGAAAACCCACTGGTACCCTTAGTAGAGCCTGGCAGCAGATGACCACCAGAATTTCTTCTCTCACTGCCTTTCCCTGTCCCTAGTACTCAACCACCATTGGCTACAACTTCCCCTTCCAGCTGCATGCTCATTCTGAGCTTGCAAGATGCCCATTGCTACTGTGTCTCCAGTTCAGTTTCCAAAGCAAATGTTGATAATCCTACTTTTAAATGAAGGACTGAGGATTAGGTGACTTGTCCAGAGTCACAAGCCCAGGAAATAGTAGAGCCAATCAACTGGATTTCTAAAACTTCATAGGTGGAAAGCTGAAAACATGGGAAAAGGACTGGCCGGAAAATCTTACTGATAATACAGACAGCAGTAATAGCAAAAGCCAGCATATACTGCATGATTTCCCAAGAGAATTAACCAGTATTTGTAACAAATTTCCTTCTATCTACCATCCTTAAGAGAACTGAGAGAAGTCCCTCAAATCATTTTCTTGTGTTTCATAGTTCAGAAGTGCCTCGGGCTGTCACGTCCCTTTTCTTTATTACCTATAGCCATACTGCCCCAGGGAAGTCTCACTAGCTTCATGAGGCAGATATTAGCACCACTGCTGTATCTGAGGAAACTCAGGCACAGGGTCTCTGTAACCTATGTCACAGTATGCAGGTTTTAAGTGTGCAGCAGGGTCCCCGCTCAAGGCAGGCCAAGTTTCTGAAGTAACTTTCACCACACTCTGATATACTAGAGTTTGATGGAGAACTTGTGTGTCAAATAACTTTTATATATCTATATCTACAGCTTAACTCAATATAGTATATGTACTGCACATGCACACTGGCTTAGTCCAAGCATACAATTTGGCCTCATTTTCTTTCTTTTTTTTTTTTTTTTGGTACTGGGGATCAAACTCGGGTCCTTGCGCTTGTGAGGCAGGTGACGGAACCACTGAGCTAAATCCCTGGCCCTTGGGCTCATTTTCTCCTCAGAGGAATAGATAAATACCAGAAGGTAATTAATATTCAGAGCCATCACTGCCCCAGAATCAGATGCAGACTATAAGCAGAGAGCACATCTACTAAGTGTGGCTGGAGAAACACACCAGAGGGACACGCAGGCCCTTTACAGGCTCTCACTGGAATACAACTCAGGACACCAACATTCTGTACTTGGGAATTCAAGAAGTTAAGCAAGATAACCTCTTACATATCCAAATCTGGAGTTCTATAAAATATCTGAGATTCTAGTAAGGAGATACCCCATTTCAGGGCCTCCCTTTTGACAACATCAGCTCCCATGGTTTATCAGAAGACAGTGGGCTCACAGCTGGCTGCTCAGACATAAACTAGCTGTTTCAAAGGTTTACAAAGTCAGAGGAATGGCTCCTTACAACTCTTGTCAGTCCAGACATGTAGCTCCTGGGCAAGCTCAGGAATGACCAAGAAAGTTCGCCACCCTTGCCGTTTCTTTGATTTTAAAATATCTCCAAAAATGTGATCTCCAATATATAAAATGTCTTTGCCCTTGGCTCCCAACAGATCACAGATTGTATCCGATGAGCCTGAAATAATGGAATAAACAAGAAAACAAGAATGTCTCTACTAAAGCCAACATTCAAAGTGCCATAACTACTCAATACTGATTAATTTTATTTTGTGATACTCACCACTCTTTTTACTGCCTCTAAGACAAGGCCTTTAGCTTCACTGTGCTGACCAGAGCTTTGATCACCAAATCCAAGAGCAACACAATTACATGTCTCAACTTTAGTGAATGTAACTAAAATACCACAGCTGTTATTTTTCATCACCGATCTGCCATTAAGTTGGCAGTACACAACTCTCTGTAGTCCTAACATTGTAAGTATGTCTGCCTATACAGGCTCCTTAAGAAGCACCCCAGCTATTCCAGAATGCAGAAAAAAAGCCTTGAAAAGGTAAGAGGAGGAGGTAACTGATCCTTCTAATGAAAGTAAAACTCAATTTTAATAGGTGACATCTCAGATTCTGAAGAGCAAATGGCACACTGCTGAGAGCATACCACAGGGTTTTTTTTGTTTTTGGGGGTCCCCCCCCCCTTAAGTTTATTGGTATATTTTACATATAAAATAGTTACATACAGGGCCAGGGATTTAGCTCAGTGGTTGGTTTCGGTGCCTGCTGTGCAAGCGCAAGGACCCGAGTTCGATTTCCGGTACCAAAAAAAAAAGGTTACATCACTAAGATCCTCTACCATTACATGAGCATCCTGGTGATACCACAGTTTTCACGGGGGTCTGAGCAGACCTGGGCTATAAAGGTAGACCGTGACTCACCGCCTGAGTAGACAATGCCATGCTGCAGGGGGCCTGTGTAGGTTCCAATCTTCAGCTTGCCAGTTTTCTAAGTGGAGAGAATGTGGACTCTGTAACAGATACTGCATCATCCAGTCACGGTCTCTACCCAGAGCACTACTCAGCCAGGCAGCCAGATGAATGTCACTCATGCTTTTCAGTTAGTCGTCTGTCTGGCCACCTCAGTTAAGACCCAAACTCTTACTTTCAAAAGAGAAATGTAGCAAGGTCCCAAGTTCGATCCCAGGTACCAAAAAAATAAAAACCAAACAAAAAGAGAAATGTGGCCATTAATTTAAAAATACCTGTTTTCTTGAGACTGGAACTGAAAAAAGGAGAAATGTGAAGGAGATTGTGCTACCCAACAAGTCACTCTCTCAACTTACAGTGTCCACTTGACGCAGTACTGTGCCTTCTCCAAAAAAGAGCGGTTTCCGTGCATCCACTAAGATCAGGTCAAAATAGGACTGCCATGGCCGATGGGAGCTCCCAGGCTGGTAAAGGGAAACCAGCAGAAGCCCAAACATCACTCTTTGTACCTTAAGACACTGATATTTACTCTCACTCTCAAAGCAAGGAACTTAGAAGTACTAAGTATAACCAGAAAATCTCATTTTATTAAAGAAATGCACTGTGGCTAGATCTGAGCCATATCCTTTTGGGGGCAGGCAGGTATTAAGTAATGACTAACAGTTGCTACATTTCAAACCATTCCATCTGTCCACAGAATCACAGTAATATGTCACTGCGCTTTAACACATGACAGTGCACTCACACTCCGAAGTGTGCAGAACACAGGCAGAGATGCCTAGGGGACAGATGGAGAGTGGGGTCTGATCTGTACTACAACTACAGCAGGTGAACCTGGCTACATTCTCTGAATGGTGGCTCAAGCAAGGTAACCAACGTGGCTGCAGAAGGCAGACCCTCAGATGATTCCCACTCTGAAACCACCAGCACCTGCCTTCCAAGCTACAAGAACAAGCACAGCACACTGCAGTTCTGGGTGATCTCAAAACAGGGCTTTGCTGACGTTCACTCAAGTCTAGGACTAAAGTTTTCTCAATCTGTGACTAGGCTGTAATGGATATTCCTTTACCCTCTACAGCGTAGCCATGCTGTAGGAATGAAGGCCTCTCTGCTAACTCCCAACATTAACTGCTCCCCTGGCAAAAAGCTCAGCAGTAGTTACTAGCAACATCAGTACACATTTTCTGCTGCTTTCACCAAGTAGCTTCCTGAAGTTGAAAATTCATTTCATTCTTAAACACAATTATGCACAGAACTTTGTAGGCATAAAATTCTGATCCCATCCTGCTAATATGACATGATTCCCTTTTTGTTTCTGTCTACTAAGTGGTAAAACTGCTAAAATTAGGATATGAAATTCAGGCTCCTGGATTACTTCTAAAGTTGATGAAGATCAGACAACAGGCTTAAAGGCTAGCATTTTTCTGGGTAGGTCCTGACCAGTTCCTTTCCCTAAATATTCCCAAATGGCTAAATGGATTCACTATTATTAAAGCAATGGTCTACTAAGTTACAGAAGTACCTTGGGGCCATGTGGGAAGTCAAACAGGTAAGTCATAATTTTCTGGAAAACAAAAAGTACAACATAAGTTCTATATGCTACTTTTGCAAAAGACACATGACACCTAAAAAAATTATATACAAGGTTTTCTTTTCTTTTGGTACTGAGGATCAAACTCGGGACCTTGTGGTTGCAAGGCAGGCAAGGAGCCACTGAGCTAAATCCCCGGGGCTATACAAGGTTTTCATAAAACGTCTTTTTTTCAACAATAGGTTTCATTACATTCTTGTTTCCTCTAAGGTTTACAGAATCTTATCAGTGGAGGCTAGAAATTAATGGTTCACCATAGCAAAAAAGAAAAGGCTTCTGATATTTCTTAAGGAGGATATATACTTTCAGATGTTTCTATACAAATTCATTCATATCACCACTTCTGGAACACACACTGGGGGTTAAGGGAAATAAAGCATAGAGAAAACTAATGACTCATGGAAATAACCTCTTACCAAGCTTTTTACATAAAGAGAATTAGGGCAAGCAGAACTTCTCATCACTATTAACTTGTAATTATCTCAGATAAAGTTAAGGTGTTACATCAGTTTTTGCACATGCATTTTTCATGGTAAAAATATGTTAAAAATTTTTTTTAAAGTACAGTCATAGATTTCGATGGCTAAGGCTCAAAACATCTTTGCCCCATTTATTGGTATAAGACTTTCAATGGCAGGGAAGTAGAATAAAGAGTATGGGGGCCTGGGATTTAGCTCAGTGGTTCCACTGCTGCCTCGCAAGCAGAAGGTCCCGAGTTCGATCCCCGGTACCCGCCCCCCAAAAAAGCAAAACAAAAGAGTATGACTTTTCTAGTTTGTCTTTAAGATGCCCCCAAAGATGCACAGAAGCCATTTTCATCAGCATAAATGCTTTAAACAGCTCCCAAATGAAAGCCTGGAAGTAGCCAACTGTAATCAGGGAAAATGGTCAAAAAGTATTTAGAAAAAATCAGAATGATTATGGTATGGCTCTTAACCCTCTGCTTTTTTTACTCTGCTTTTAAAATGAAATGGCAAGAAACTACCTTCAATTAATGAACTTCTATCCTTCTCATGATCTTTGTACTTGAGACCAAAATAATTTCTCTTAATAATTCATAAAGATGAATATTAAGCACTTACGTCTGTATACTTATAGTCACTGTTGGTGGCAAGAAATACTTTGCCTACTTCCTTCATCCGGCTCAGAAGCAAAGGCAGTTTTCCCTGAAATGTAGTATGATGAACAAAACACTAAAATAGAAAGACTTTTATATTTATACTGTGAGGTGCTCATTAGATTTTTGTCCACTGAAATAGGAATATGGTAGGTAAGCCCTTTAAAAATGGGTTGGTTTCAGAATTCTGCACTTACAAGCCCTCTTGTCACTGTGCGTGAATAAAGTACACGGTGCATAGAGCACACAGATTCACATGTGAAATAATCCATGGTCATTAACAGCATTTACCTTCCTCATGATGTCTGCCCCAGGAAAGAATTTAAACTGCTTTGTGATTTCCTGAGGAATGTGAGTTAGGTATGTCAGAAATCACAGCTGACAATGGCTTTACAATGCATCTTGTAGAACACGAGGACAGTTACAGAGGGAACCCAGAAATGCCCATGCCCACCTGCAGATAAGGGAATTCTAACCCTGATCTGTTTAGAAAGCAGCACCTTTTTCTTCTCCCATTAAAAATAGCTTCCTTCACACACGGGAGAATTCCTGAATCTCCCCATTCAGGGTTCTTTCTTGAAACAGTGAGGGGAAGAGAGGATATATGAGTCCTGTAAACAAGAAAACTTTACCCACAGTACTTTGCAATTCCAGAAAAAGAAAAACATATCTTGGGATTGTATGTTTACTTTTTGTTTTGAAATAATTTTATACTTGCAGAAAATTTATGAAAATAGTAAGAGTCCCCATATATTCAATTTCCCTTAATAGCAAGATTTTCCTGAATCTGTAATTATGAAAATTTTAAAACTCACACTGGTTAAATACTATTAAACTATAAATTTTAAAAAATTCATACGTTTTCTACTTTTAAGATATTTTCAAACTTTCCTTATTCCCTGTTGAGAGGTTAAAGGCATTTAAAATACCTGCATACATGTGCTTACAATCTGGTTGTGAATCTTGGCTTTACTCACTCACTGTATGACCTGGGGTAAGATACTTAATTCTCCTCTTGCTCGGTTTCTTCATGCCTGACAATGCAGGTAAGTGTTTACCTCACACTGCACCACGGCATGGTGATGTGCTCCCTGCAACTCTTCCTGTTACTCCTGCAGCTAAAAGGACGAATGAAACACTGGGCCTTCTTGCTTATCAACCAACAAGAACTACTACTAAGCCCTATGTTCTGGCTGGAAATTCCTGGTGATCACACCTAGCAAATGCTATGCCACAAAAAGGACTATCTTCCCCCATCCAAGTATGAGCTTGTTATTCACTTCCTTAATAGGTAAATAAGCTATCATGCAGATCTGCTTTCCCCTTTAGTACTTACATCTTTGACTACATACTTCTCAAGGTTTTCAACTGTCTTTTCCTTCAGAGAGCCCTGGAAGAAGGAAAAAAAAGGAACTAAGAAAGAATAAATTTAGTTTTTAACATTTAGTTTATAAAGAAACTTGTGTTTAGTATCAACCCAAATGAATTTATGTGGTGTTTGATTTTTTGAGATAAGGTCTTGCCCTGTAGTTTAGCTATGAAGCTCACTATGAACTCACTGTGAAGCTGAGGGTGGCCTTGAATGCATGCCAATCCATCTGCCTCAGCCTCCAAATGCTGTGATTACAGGCATGCACCACTGTACCTTGAATTTATGTATTTACCAAAATGGAAAAGAAGATAAACTAGAAAAGGCCAGGAAAAAGTGGTAGATGTGATTTGCAGTAACTCTCCCTCCCAAAATGTCTTCAAATATAAAACTGTTTGCATTTTAAATTAGAAATTAAAAGGCATATTTTATTCAGTTCAGATTATAGTAAATATAAGTTTAATAGTAACTAGTTAACAGTATTAGTCAAGGGGCAGGACCGGGGATTTAGCTCTGGTTCTGCCACCTGCCTCACAAGCGCAAGGTCTGGAGTTTGATTCCTGGTACCAAAAAACCCCAAACAAACCAGTATTAGTCAAGGGGGATGATAAAGGACCACCACTCACAAAGTATGTCATGTATAATCTCATAAACTAAGATGGTTTCTAAGTAAGTGTGAATAACACAAACTAAATAAAATCTAGAACCCAAGCTTCACCATTAAGGAAAGATCACCAGGATGGCCAGACAAGAACAGACGTACCTCAGAAAGCTAACACTGGAGCAAACATTCCCTGCTTCTGACCCTTTTTAAACACAAGAAAAGTTGTGCTCCATTTGCTCTTGGAAAGGTAGTATCGGATCATAAAATACACAGCAGAGAGTGATCAGCTAAAGCAGCAGCTTGTAATACTACCTTGTAGTGGACCCAGTCGACAGCGTCTCTGACATCCTGGAACATACTCCGGTAAGACATAAACAGGTCCCCATCTTTAAATCCTGTCTCGCAGCTACAGAAAGATGAAAAGGACATGACAGGGATTCCAAAAGAGGGTGAATTTTTTTTTCTTTTTTTGGTACCAGGGATTGAACTCAGGTCCTTGCGCTTGTGAGGCAGGCGGCAGAACCACTGAGCTACATCCCCGGCCCCAAAGAGGGTGAATTAAATAAAAATCAACAACTGCCTTGGGGACCCAAAGGTTCCGCATCCCATGGGTATACAGGCTGTGGCCAATTAGGAAAATAATTACTCCCTAATGAAAATCCATTTCTGACCACCTAAAACGGCCATAGGGTTTAATGGAATACAATAATTGCAAATGAATACAATGTGATAGAATATACTGAATGGAAACTAAAAGGCCAAAATTCAAAACACAAGGTTCTTTCATCACTTTGTACAAACAGGTTCTCACTGAAGAAACAATTGAAATTTAAAAGTCTGTCATTTAGGTTCTTTGCACCCTAACTTTTCTGATGTTGTGCTTAAGTATAAAGGTACTGTCCATTTTCTTTTTTTTTTGGTACCGGGGATCAAACTCGGGCCTTTGCGCTTGCAGGGCAGGCAGTGGAACCTGAGCTAAATCCCCGGTAGTACTGTCCGTTTTCTAAGCTTCGTGACTCAGCTTTCCACCAAACTTAGTGTCTTCAACTGAATAAAGCCTAACATAAGTTGGCAGACTCTGGCAGTATGGCTACACTTTCACCAAAGACTACAGAATTTCCCCTAATGAGAGGATCACCTGTCAAAGACTTAGACACTTTTATTTCAGGTAACAGTCTTTACTCCTCCAAGAAACCCTGCCAGGCCTGGGAAGGAAACTAAGTTACCGTCCCTGAATGGCTCCTGGGTAGCTGCTGTGAGATGAGCTGGGGGTTTCAGTGTAACTCTGCTTGGACAGATAATCATCACACAAACCTCCCACTCAGGTGTCACAATTAGCACCTCTGCTGGCGTCTTCACTCCCAGGAGAAGCCAATCAGAAGTGGTCCCTTCCAAGCATGGCTGCAGCACACTGGCAAGAAGGGGCGTGTGGGAGGTGAGAGCCTGCATGGAGCTGCTGGTGCTGTCCATCTCTCAGGCTGGCAATGAGGCATCTCTCACTAGCACTAAATTCACTTCAGAAAAGCAGAAAAGACCTACAATGGCCAGTTCTCTAAAACCCTGTACATTAATTTAAAAAAACCAACTGGAAAAAGGAAATTGTTGTATATACATACCTGGAATATCTGGGACAATTAGTAAAAAAATCTACTAGGCAGGCCAACAGGTAGGTCTCTGGAAAATGAAAAATAGATATTCATAAGCTCTATGTGAAATAATTCAGACATAATTCATTACCTCCCTTGAGCAAAGACAAATGCTCACAGACTGAAGGGAATGTATCAGTATATATAAGTGTAGAATGAATCTACCTGGCAGATTGAATAGTGTATTCAGAATGTAAAATCGTTCAGTGTCATCTCGTTGGATAAATTTGTTTGGATACTGCTCTCTAGTTTCTGGCCTGAAAGAAAATTTTAAAAATTAGCTGACATTCAAAATACCAAATAATAACTATGGGAAATACTCATTACTGAAAATTTCATTCAAATATGTTGATGGATATTGTGCAAGACAGAATTCCAAATATTAATCATGGGGAGCTATATGATGAGGAAGCTCAGGTTTTAGCCCTTAGAGCTCTCTGATAGAGATGAGTCACATACACAAACAACTGTAACAAGGTAAAAAAAAATTACTACTACAAGAAAGCTGCAAAGAGCTATGAAAATGGGCAACTTAAAGGGAGAGAGAAATGAACGCAAGGAGGTAATGAAAAACCTAGGATTCGTGAAAGTGATGTCCATAAGCCAGACCTTAAAGGCAAAGTGCAAGGACTAGTCCACTTCTGGTAGAGAAAGGAGAGCAAGAGCAAAGTACAGCTGGGAAGATGTGTTGAGACTGACCATGCTGTTGTCCTTTTGCTTCATTCAGTGTCATGATGGTGCTATTTGCAGTCTGTAAACTCATCAGAACTAAGCTGGAAAGACCAACTTGTAGCAGTTTTAGGATAAACAGCAGAAAGACAATGTGATATATACATTCCCCCACTTCGTACTGGGGATCAAACTCCGGACCTTGCACTCATGAGGCAGGCACAGTGCCACTGAGCTAAATCCTCAGCCCCGTTGGAAGCTCAGTTTATTTTTCTATCCTTGAATACAGGTGTGCACAGCAACAAATGGGATCCAAACAGTCTTTAAAGACACTTGTGGATTAAGACTTGTTCTCTCCTAGAGCACAGGGACCCAAGACCACTATACAAATGACAGTAAGATGGTCTGTAAGATGACAAAGGGCGACATTAAGAAATGAGGCACACAGCCAACAGCCTGCCAGCTGACCACAGACCCATGAAATAGCTCAGAGAGATCAGCTGAGCAACCTAGAATTCCCTGGCTGACTTTCACAATTTTGAAGCACATAAAACAGTCATTGTTTCAAGCCACTAAGTTTTGGAGTAATTAAAAAGCTAATTCATGCAGAGCAATGGGAACTCTGGTTGTAATGTAGCAGTCCAGATGAGAACAACGGGCCCTGTCCTAGTGTGGTATCAAAGTAAAATAAAGGAAAAATGTATTCAAGAGAGATTCCCAAGGAAAAATGAGTAAGACCAGGCAACTAATCAGATGTGACAGATGAAGGATGTAAGAGAGGAAGATGCTTATGGTAAGGTATCTCTGAAAGGTGGTTGGTACTGTTACTAAAAATATGAAAACAGATATAAGAGGAGTTCTGTTTTGGCTACACTAAGATTGAAATAAACAGATTTTTTAGTAGGCAACCTGAAAAAAGGTCAAGAATTTAAAACATTCAGACAACAGATAACTAGGATCATCTATCCAAATGTAACAGATGAAACCATGAAAATGGTTAGAACAGAAGAAACTGAGAACAGAACTGTGCAGAACATTCAGGGTATAAAAGAAAAAAAAGCCAGGGAAAGAGAAAGAAGTTGCTGGGAAAGGCCAAGGAGCTTGGAAAGTGAAACCTAACACCGCCAGAAAGGAGGCATATTAATAAAAGTATTTCTGAGAAATGAGAAGGAAGACTTAAATATGAAAAGGCACAATTCTCACAGAGAATGTATGAAAATTAACAAATCTAAGCAACCGAAACCAAATTTAAAGTTAATACTCAAAGTGAGCTGGGTAAATTCCTGCTTGAGTTTACTAAGTACAAATGGCACAAACTCAAGTTAGGCATGTAAAGTCATTTAGCCCCATCTTGGTCACCTCTTAGTAATCAAGTAATCCTTCTGAAGTAAGAGTTTCTAATAAAAAATAAATTTATAGGGCCGGGGATTTAGCTCAGTGGTTCCGCCGCCTGCCCTGCAAGCGCAAGGACCCGAGTTCGATCCCCGGTACCAAAAAAAAAAAAATTTGTAGACTATTTCATCCCGCAGCCTTCCCATACACTCTGTAATGAAAAGTAAGATGGACAGGAATACTATGTACAGTATTTTCCTCAGTTAGGTTTAGCAGATGATACTGTCTTCCTAAATATATTCTGTTCCCTCCATCATTGAAGAGCAATTCTTCTACATGAAGGAGTCTGCAATTATTTATTAGGCAGTTACAATACAAAACTGACTTATAGTTAGCAACTGCACTTTGTTAAAATGTCAGATGATGCTAGTATATATGTAAAAAAAAAAAAAAAATCAATCCAGGGGAGATAATTTATCACCAAGAAGGAACACCACACCTGGAGTTGGGAAGAAAATAGTTACAGTACAGATTATTGCTAATCTTCTGTGATCTACAAAATAATGCTTTACTTTTCTCCTGCAAAATGAAGCCCCGACCCATCAGCAGAGCAGGAGGGGCGGTGGGTGGGCTGGCTCCCCACCCTGTGCACTGAGGCCCTCCCTCCCTTCTGGCTTTTCCTGGGACTCTCACTCAGGACCACATGGCGCTCAGGCCCAGTCTGACAGATTCTGCACTTCTCTTAAATGATCTACTTTGAAACACCATTACATATATTTTCAAAGGAGCTATCTGGGGACTTTACTGGGGAAGAGAGGAATATAAGTTAGTAAACTGGTTATAAAACCAATTTATTGAACAGCTTTTCTTCCTTCTCTATCTCATTAACACAAAAACCCCTTATCAGACAAAAATAGAACCCTGAATGATCTTCATTACTGCTCTGAGTAATGAGAATATTTGCATATAAAAGAGCTTCAGTTCTTGGTACTATATGCAATCACCTTGTGTTTAAATTCCCATTCCCTTTTTTTTTTTGGTACCAGGGATCGAACTCGGGACCTTGCGCTTGCGAGGCAGGCGCCAGAACCACTGAGCTAAATCCCCGGCCCCCTAAATTCCCATTCCTGATATTCATGGGTCTTCAAAAACAGTGGAAGTGATATAACCACGTGGATAACAGAAATATTCCACTTATGAAAGTAAAGCTTATCCTTTTTTCTTTTAAAAAGTTTATCCTGCTTTTCTTTTTTCAGATGGTATCTTGCTATGTTGTCCAGGCTCTGGCCTCAAAGATCCTCCTGCCTCAGCCTTCTGTGGTAGCTGGGACTATAGGCACACACTTCCATGTTCAACTTTACCCTCAGTCATTTTTAATTCTATGTCTTAATTTTTTAAATCTTGAAAGTATCTAGAACTATTCATTACAACATAAAAAACAATGTATTCACTTTTTTTGTGTGTGTGTGGTACCAGGGATTGAACTCAGGACCTTACACTCGAAAGGCAGGCGCAGTGCCACTGAGCCTGGTGCCACTAGGCCCCTATGTATTAGCTATTTTAAAATATCTTAATTGCTATAGTTTAAAAATTTTCAAAGTACAGTACTGTTAAGTACATATCTCTTTTGAGCAGCTGAGAAATGGATTAAAAAGAGAAAACAGAATTTCAAACAAGTCTAAACAACTACAGTTCTTTTTGAGCAAATTTCTTTTTTTTGTTTTGTTTTGGTTTTTTTGGGTACCGGGATCGAACTCGGGACCTTGCACTTGTGAGGCAGGTGCCAGAACCACTGAGCTAAATCCCCGGCCCTTTTTTGAGCAAGTTTTAAGATTAGCTTTATTGGCCAGGGATTTAGCTCAGTGGTTCCCGTACCTGTCGCACAACCGCACAGTCCCGAGTTCAATCCCTGGTACCAAAAAACAAAAACAAAACAAAGATTAGCTTTATTGGATACTTATAATTAGAAGACAATTTAAACAAATGTAACTGCTGCCTATGTCTGTAAGTTAGTTTTGGCTTCTAAGTGCCTAACACACATTAACCACTGTGACCTAAGGGATGGTTCCTCTAGCTGGATGCAGTGGCAAAGGCCTGTAATCCCAGCACTTGGGAGGCTAAAGCAGGAGGATCATCTTGAGTTTGAGGCCAGCCTGGACCACATGGTGAGACCCTGTGACACACACACACACACACACACACACACACACAGACACACGCACGCACAGAACGGCTCTTTAATGACAGAAGAACAGGAAAGTATATTACACCTGGGGAGGAGCATCACCCCCATGCCTGACACCAGGAAGAGGGTGAGGCCTCTTACTTACCCTCTTATGAAGTTAAACCCGTGTGCACACACCAAGAGGTTCCCGTAGGCATCAACTTTCAGAAGATTCCCATACAGTGTGTCAAAGACAAGCCCTCTGAAAACAAAGACACCGTGGACAACGCACATTAACAGAAGCAGTAACCAACCTCATCTAATTCAAGCTTTCCAGCAACTGAGGAACACCCCCAAATAATGTAATCTGAAGCCAATGTGTGTGAATAAAATCTTCAGAACTAATCCCAGAGCAACTAGAAATTTATTCCACACAGCTAAGTAATCACAATTGTTTCCCATTGGGGAAAAGGGTTTAATCAAACAGGTACAAACTATAATTCCTCTAAAAAGAACTGGTACCATTCCAAAGCACAGTCTTTAAATTTCCTTGGACAACTGAGCTGGCCTGTATTTCCCTTCATTAGATGTTGTATGTGGACCATTTGACTATTCCTTCAACTAAATATCTTTCTTAATTTTAAATCTTCCCTATCAAGTCCAGATATGCAAACTGCCAAGAAGGCTCTGACTACCAAGTTAAATGAATGAGCACAACGTGTAATTGCTCTCTAATAGTTAAAGGCAGAGCAGACAGGACCATCTGTGATTGCCGCCCATCAGGTTTAAATATCCTTACCCATGAAGTGGTCTTTTTCAAAAGTTATAAACTGAATACAATTTAAGAATACAAAAGACACAGTGTATATGAAAAATTCATGGTAATTTTATAATCAACACCAACCAAAAAGGAAGAAGAATTATTTGATGTATACTTTTTCTGGACAGGAATTAATTCAGAATTAATAATTTTGGGGACAGGAGAAGTGTTCTTAATCCAAAAAAGTGTTGAAAAATTACCTGGTAGGGAATGTAGAATCATAAGCAAAGCTGAGCAGCTCCTGGGGATAACCAATAGAAACTAATCTCTCCACAGTGAGCTCGAAGCCAAGGGATTCATACTCCGGGGACTTGTACACTGCACAAAGAGGAGGTTCTTATCAGTCAGCAGAAAGAATAGCTCATTGAAAGAGAAGGCGAATGAATTTCAACTCCCAATTTCTCCTTCCTCTTCAATATGCCATTTTTCTTCTTTTCCCTTAAGCTCTATGTTCTGTACTACTCCCCCACCAATAACTTAAGAATTCAACTCTCTGTAGAAATAGGTCATACCATATCAAGAGCAGTAGAAACAAGAATTATCAAACATTTCAGAATAGTTCCTTCATTCTAAGGAAACCCACACTATAAGTTTCTTTCTCCTTTCTTCTTTCATTCTCACAATCTACCAGCAAGAAAAAAAAAACTACCAATATGCACAGCTGTGCTATTAACTATGAGAATATAAGTAAACAAACTAAGTACAAGAAGTCTCTTTGTTGAAGTCTTCACCGATGTGCACAACTAATGTAGGGATCTTCAAAATATTTTTTTAAGTCTGTTTTTGGAATTCCTATTTGGCTTTAGGTGCTTTATATTCTTTCAATCAGCATGTATTTGTCAGATTAACTTTTTCTATCAGCCCTAACATTATAGCCTTCAAAACTGGATTTTACAAAGTATTATTACAAACCAACCACAAAAAAGTATGTCTGAGGCAGTTAAGAGAAATCTGAATGTGAACTGGCAATCAGACATTAAAGAATTGTGGTTCATTTTATTAGACGTGATTATGGCAGGGTGAGTAAGCAACTATGTGTAACAATTCCATGTATCTCCTTATCTGCGAAAGGAGCATACTGAGTTTGTTACAGGTCAAGTAACATGGATTTCAGGTTACGGGGGTTTCTCTTTTCCATAGTGAAAAAACCCTATTACTGCAATTCATCATAAAGAAAATGCTATTCCTTGAAATATGCTTCTTTTAAATGAAATATTTACGTTAGCGACCTTCCATCAGTTTCTGGAGTAAGTAAGCCATCTTAAAAATAAGGTATGGGCTGGAGATTTAGCTCAGTGGCAATGCGCCTGTCTGCTTTGCAAGCACAAGGTCCTGGGTTCAATCCACGGTACCACAAACAAAACAAAACAAAAATAAGATAGCCAGGCATGGTGGCACAAGCCTGTAATCCTACCACTCTGGGAGGCTAAGGCAGGAGCACCACAAGTTCAGTCCCAGCCTTGGCAACCTACTGACTTAGCAAGATCCTATCAATAAACAAATGACCTATAGTAAGCAAATATATCCATCCTATTTTCTTTTCCAGTACCAGGGATTGAACTCAGGACCTTGCCCTTGCAAGAGCAGGTGTGGCGCCACTGAGCTAAATCCCCAGCCCTTCCATCCTATTCTTATAGTCAGTCTCATAATAATGTAACTATTATTATTATGTTATTATAGTCTATTATTAACATCTCTAACTAACCTATAGCTTAAACTGATTTTTTCAATAATTAGTCTGCCTTTTCTTTCTTTGTTTTTTTTGTACAGGGATCGAACTTGGGTCCTTGTGCTTGCGCAGCAGGCAGAGAAACCACTGAGCTAAATCCCCAGCCCTAATTAGTCTGCCTTTTTAAGTTAATGCTAATTCTGTATTTTAATGAGTACAATTCAACTTTCCCTTTCCAAAAGCCATCCTGTAGAGACATATAAAAGAAACCTGTAATACTGGTTGCCTCCCAAGAAGGAAACAGCTAAACTGAGTGGGGCAGTGTCAAAGGGAAAGGAAAGGAGGAGACTTTCATGTACTTCTGTACCTTTAAAACTTGTAACATACTTGGACCAGGGATTTAGCTCAGTGGTTCCACTACCTGCTTGGAAAGCGCAAGGTCCTGAGGTTCAATCCCCGGTACCAAAAAAAAAACCACTTGTAACATACTGATTTTTTTTTTAATTAAATTGAGATTTTTAGAAAGTAAGTTGGACTTTCAAAATGTTTTCAGATTTAGGGCCGGGGATTTAGCTCAGTGGTTCCACCACCTGCCTCACAAGCACAAGAACCTGAGTCCGATCCCCGGTACCAAAAAAGAAATATTTTCAGATTTAAAAAACAAAAACTGTTAAGGTTCTTTAGAGATACTTGAATTTCATTCATCAGAACAATATCCAAAAACTCTATCTTTATCACATGATGCATAAACTGTATAAACTGTATTGTGTGTTGTTTACAACAAAGCTATCTTTGTTTCTTTTGTTGTCTTGGGGTTATAATAATTTAATGCGAATGCTAACTCCGGACAACATTTTCAAAGCTGGCTATATTTCTTTCCTCCCCTCAATTCTTTGTCCCCCACCTATCCCATCTCCACTCCCTCAAGACAAAACAAAGAGCCCCCAAGGCCCTTAAAGTCTCAAATGTGGAATTTCCAAATCTATGTGACATACACTGTAGTAAAGGAAGCACTATCAGTTTACGCACAGTAACAGAGGAGGAGCTGAGACCAGGAAAGCCTGGCACCCAGTGACACACACAGGAGTTACGCAGAGACAGAAACTAACATCTCTCCCTGTACTGCCATACTCCCAAGCCAACTGCAAGTGATGTCGTCTTAACACAATTCCCATAACTCATTTCTCAATCCTAAACAAAGCCTCACATATTTCAAACAATACTCAATGAAATAAAAATTCCAATATAGCTAAATGATTTGGGTAACCTGCCGATACTCATTCTTATGAGAGCTGGCTCATACAAAATGTTTTCAATGATTAATTTTTCAGAAGGGTAAGTTGCTGGACATTCCTTAAGAGGAGGGACAAAAAGCCCCTAATCACCTCCAGCAAAGCTTAACCCTAGGTCAGGAATTTTCCCTGTTCATGACTGAAGTAATTACAGAGTACAAGAATTATCAGTAACCGAAACCTCCATCTATGAGACCAATTTGGGCTAAATCTCAAAGCAGTTCAAAACGTTTAGTGAAAAAAACACGGGAAAAAACTCAAGTCCCCATTTTGCCAGCACAATTCCTAGAATAGCAGAAAATAAAACACTGTACATTTGCTATAATACATTTATTCACAGGGCAGAACTTCCCAAGTGTTCAACCGAGGTAATTTTCTAGAAATTCCTTTCTCTTGATGACCTCAGGGTACTTCCCATAAATATGATGTATCCTCCCCATTTGCTGACCGCAAGTTACACAACAAGTACAAATATCAGCTGAAGGCAGAATTGAGGTCCCTCTGTGTCCCATCCGAAACTGTGGTGGGGTATACAACCACTGCTATAAATTTCTAGGTTGTACAGGCCATTAAAACTGAAGCTTGGATATTGAAACACACCACTTCTCCCTCCAATTTCTTTCAAACAGTCCAAAATAAACTTCCCTAAACTCAGGTAGGAATGGACTTACCAAGGAAAGTTCAAGTTCCATTTTTTTTTTCTTTTTTTGGTACGGGGATCGAACTCAGGTCCTTGCACCTGCAGGGCAGGCAGTGGCACCACTGAGCTAGATCCCCGGCCCTCGAGTTCCATTTTAACAACACTGTATTTCATCAAACTCTAGATTACTAAGACCCACAAGCCACTGACATCTTCTCATAAGCTTACTGGATAATCATTTTAGCAACACAGACTTCCATACCCTGAAATCATCTACTAGAGAGCTATACAAAACACAAATTCTGAGAAGCAGAACTGCAGCTGCACAGAGCCTGAATTTAGAGGTTTTATTCTAAGTATCCCTTGGAATAAGCACACTGTTCAAATGTGGTGACAAAAACTCCTGAAGCTTACAAAGCGTCACCATTTCTTAAAAAACAGAGATTAAAATGTAAAATTCCTTTTTTAATCAACCAGGCCCTTCAAAACCAGCCTCAGACAGGGCTGGGTATTTAGGCCTGCCTTGCAAGCACAAGGTCCCAAGTTTGATCCCCAGTACCAAAAACAAATCAGCCTCAGACACCTGCCATAGAGCACCTCACCTCAGTCTGTGAAGCTCTGTGCCTCTCCACAGCCTGTGCAAAGCCTCCAATCTCAAAGTCTATTACAAACCGCAGCAGGTGAGCGATGCACAGCTCAGCTGACTCTCACAGCTGGCTTTCCAGGCTTCTACACCCAGCCAATGGCTTCAGGCAGGTACACATTAACTGCTCGCTCATTCATTTTCCAGGCAATTCCTCAGGCCTACCCTAACTTACCCAATATCCAAAGACAAAGGAAGAAACTGTCTTAAGGGTCAGAGTCTGAAAAAGGGGACTGCTTTCAGCCACTAGGACAGCACACAGTGTTCTCAGGTTATGTAACTCGACTACAAAGAGAACAACCAAGGCTTTGAAAGTTGAAGCTATTGAAAGCATTTAAGGAAAGATATTCTTTACCCCATAATCTGCACGGGAAAAAACAGCTTTGCAAAAATAACCGCATGTAGTGGGGATGAAAGGTGTGGGCTTTGTTTTGTGTAGGTAGATGTTGTTCATAAAAAAGAGAAGCTATGTTATTGGAGAAAGTTCCTTTAGAACAAGCAGAAACTTTCTGCAGGGAACTCTGGAATTCTCATGCACTGTTTAACTTTGCCACCAGGACACACTGTACAAGTTTATAGATTTTAGTACAACTTATGGGCAAACCTCTAGATGGTTCCAGCCTAGCGGAGTGCTGCTGCCAAAGTAAGAACTCACATGAGGCAGACGCTGATGCAGTGTGTGCCACTCCAGTCCTGAAGGAGTTACACTGGCTCTCCTGTTAAGAAAAATCAAAGCAAGAAAACAACACAAAACAAAAAGAAAAACAAGAGCTGGTTTTAAAAGTGTTGTGATGGGCTGAAGAGAGAGAGAGGTTACCATTTGGAACCTGGTATTTACAGGAATTATCACTGCCCTCCAATGAAAAAGACTGACCATCACTAAAATTAGCCTAATTGGCCATAACAAGAACACTGAAAATAAGCCTAAGTATTGTGTAGTATTTGTTTTTCTGGTACCCTGAGTCTGAAATACAGGACAGACAAAAAGCTCCCTTCTGGGTTTATTCTCTCCAGCACACTGCAGGTTAGTATGACAGAAACAACACAGCTGGTAAGTACGTTGCACTGAACCAT